CATTTGTTCTGTTGCTAGTTGACCCACTGGCACATGCCAATTTATTGCAATTCAAAATTAGTCACAGTAATTACTGGCTCAGTGCCCGGTTGGTGCTTGGAGATTGTGCACTGGAGCTGGCAGACGCCAYAGAAGTGAGAGGTGTTGTTGATAAGGGGTGGAGAGGTCAGGAGATGCAGTGATTTAGGGGTGTTGGGCCCATGTCAGTAAGATGTAAGTGCAGCCCCTCTCTGATCAAGTGGGGTGTAAGATGTTGACTTGCAGGGCTGAAGTTCTCTGGCTGTGGGCTTAATGACTCCCCCTTCGTCAGGGCTGGGCCACTCAAAGTTCAGATGTTTCAGAGGCAGATTGAGCTTTACTTGGGATCCACAAAATAAATGCATTTATTTTATTGCCTTCCTGCTCATTGCTTGCATTCCCTAAACTGGTCTTTGACTCATATGCCATGAAAAGTAGAGTTTTATTTGGCTGTTGTTTCACATAATGGGTCTACATGGGGTTTGTTGARAATAATTGAGGTTTCATGGCTTTTTTTGTGGCATTGATATTTCAAAAGGGAGCGAGGGAAGGTGCTGACTGGGAACTGTGGCTGTGTTAAGCAGCTGGCATATATTTMTTTATTAGAAAGCATAAATGTGAATCTGTTGCAGTTGCTTTTTTGAGCAAAGCAGAACTGCATTTTAGTTGGTCGGATTTCTTGATGCAGACAGCTGCTGCACTGCCAGTGAGTGTTTGTCTTTAATGGGAATTGCTGTTCTGTGTCGGGGAGTTTGGTGGGCACAGGGCTGATGTCCAGATCTCCATTCCCTTCCTGCTGAGTGCTTGAAGCAGAGCACTGGAGACCCTGTGCTAATCAGTATGGGGGCTTACCCTTCAGGAATGTCCACTTGTACACACCTAGAAAAAAAAGGGGTAAACTGCAGTCAGATAAGGTGCTTCCTTTTTAGTCAAACAAAGCTGTGGAGTTCAGGTAATGCTCAGTCATTGTTTGAATCTAGTGGTCTTTGAGGAGAACTTGGATATCCCAAAGCAAATTTTCAAATTTTCTAGGAACAGCTGCTGTTTTTGAAGGCTTCATGTTTCATGTCTCTGCTTCTCTGACCATTGCTAGGAAATGACACCTCTCTGGTTTGAGGATTTTCATATGTCCCTGTCACCTCTTCTGGGTTACCTCACTTCACAAAGTATGGTAATTCCAAGCTTACTGCAGGTAGCTGTGCCCACAACAGCAGCTTACAAAYACATCAGTGGTATGAGAGGAATGTGGTTATTTACTGATTTGTTAACAGCATCTTGCTTTCTAGGTTCTTAAAGTTCTTTTAAAACTTCAGTCTAACTCTGAGTCTCCTTGTTTTGCAAATGTGGGAAAAACTGAGGCTCCGTGGGTGGGATTTGGCTCTCTTTGGAGATGCTACAGTAGCTGGTCTGTGCCTGYTTGTTTAGTGTATGAGAAATGCTGAGTATTTGCAGGTCTGGCTATAATTATTAGAAGAGACCTGGTTTCTGGGAAGTGCTGTAAAAGATGTCTGGTACCTGAGGCCAAAAMCACCGTCTGGGATGTCAGTCCCATCCCTTCGTAGTGAATCTATAATGAACCAAGACCAAGACCCACAGCAATGATAGAGCCTCCTGTGGAATCCACTCCACAAGATGTTTTGTGAGATTGGTTCAGCGTTCCCTCCATCACCCTAGCTTGCACCATCTTGAAATGGTCCCTATCCTTGTGCAGGGCCAGGACACCTGAGGTCAAGGGCAGACCAAGGAGCCTATAGCCATGTTTGCTGTTTAATCCTTTAAGTGCCAGATCTATGCCCGATGCTGGTGTGGTTTGCCGCCAGACAGCAGCTGATCCCTCACACCATCTCTGATCTGCCCCGAGATTTGGGTGCTGTGGTGGAGTCCTGTCTCCTGCCCTGGTAAATCTGCTCCATTAATAGCTATCAAAGAGCCTGAAGTTTCCATCTGAACTTTATCTGGCTTTGCAGTGAGCTGGAGGATTAAAAACTGTGGCAGGGGAAGGGAGGGAGCAGCCGCGGCTCACCCGGAATAGCCTGACCTATGACGGCACGTACCAGCCTGGGGAGGGGAGTTGTCCTGTGAGCTCACGGGTTATTAGCAGTGAGCACAGACATGTCTGCGGTCAGCAGCACACCCAGGGCCATCTGCTCCATCCCTGCCTGCTTCAGGGAGTCCACAGGGGTTTGTTAATACAACTTGCCAGCACAGCTCTTTGATGGGGAGCTGGGAGTAGGCTTGAGGGAGAGCATTGTGATGCCATCCTTCTGTGCTGCTCGAATGATTTGGGGTTTGATATCTGGGCTGTTGGTGTTGKGGTGGATCTGATTAGGAGGGGGAGCATTGTGAGGAGATAACCGCTGTCCTGCTGCAGCCCAGGGCTGTTGTCTCTTTGCTGTGCCATAGCAGGTAAAAAAGGGATCATTGTATGGCTGGAGTTTGCCTATGGGGCCATCAGACATGGGGCACAAGCCTTCTCCCAGATGGGTTTGTGTGTAACCTGGGATTCACTTCTCATAGCCTCTCATAACTGATTCTGTTTTCCTTGCCTTGTTCCTRTGCAGACACCCCCAAGTCATCTGTTTCACCCACCCCTTGTCACCACTGGGATCATGCAGGGTTTACTTCTTGCTTCCTCCCTCCACTTTCAGAGCTGCTCCTCCCCTGTGCTTCCCTGTTAGAGCAGGAGCTTTTCCCTTAGAGATGGGCCCTTTCCAGTGCGCAGTGTTTTGCAGGAATTGTGCAGAACACCTCAGCACAGTGGAGCAGGGTTTTCCCAGCTGGCTGGATGATCCCAGACTGAGCGTGCACATTCCCCAAGGGGCAGTGGAACTGGGAATTAACTCCTTGGGTATGCTGGAAGCAGGCATGTGGCTCCCTAATGAATAGTCTGCGAGTGCTGCTTGGTGTTTTACACCAGGAAGCACCGAGGCTGTTCTAAACCTTTGACCCTGGTGACATACTCCAGATTCCTCCCAGTKAAATGCTCTCTCTCCCTTCCCTCCAGGCCTGAAAGCATCCTGACTAGCCAGACAGAGCCCCATAAAAATCTCCTTTATATCCCCAGTAATTCTATTGATCTGTGCATTGAGAACATCATTGTGCTTTGGCATTTACAGCTTGCATTCTTTGCTGTTATCAGTGATGGGTGCTGTTTGTGTGCCTGCTCTTTGGACCCCTAGAAAGTCACCCAGCATGTGGGAAATCCCTGCTCCATGGATCTGGCAGCCTAGTGGAGCACAGCTGAACACAGGGCTTTCAAGCAGCATTCTATCTGGAGGAAGTTCCCCATCCACCTGATGAGACAGATGAGGTCAYACTGAACCCCTCTGTCCTGCTGGCCTGGCAGAGGAATGTGTAGCCTCAGCAGCAGCACTAATGTGGGCTGTGCTCCCCTTTGCTGGAGTGGGTGAGCACAGGAGACAMCAGTGTCTGGTGTGCAGGGCTCTGCCAGGACAGCCAACATTGCTGCTTCTGGCTCCAGCAAGCTCTGCTGTGCCAAGGGTTGGTGAAGAAGAAGGGAATATTCACTCTGTGTCCTGTTGTGTAGGCAGATTTACCAAGCACATCAGGCACTTGTAGCTGCAGTGTTTGCTGCTGTCACCTGAGCTGTAGAAAGTTGTGGTTATAATTCTGGARGTTGTTGTTTCAGCTCTTGGTGACAAAGAGGGTGCTCTGCCTGTGTGTCCTTTGCCCTCCTTTTGCTGACATTGGAGCACCTCASCAATTTCTGGAGGCAAAGAGAAGCTGTTGATCAGAGGGAGAATGAGAAACAGTGATTCACTCCTAGATACTTAATCCCAGCTGAAATAAGGGGATTTAAGAGCTGGGTGCTGAATGACTGCACTGATTTATCATGTCTATCACTACCGTCAGTTGCTATGGCAATATCTATTTATTGTCATGCCCTTTCCAGACACAGCTGCCTTGCTTGTTGAGGTGACTCCTCAGCTCCCTTTSTAGCTCACCTCTGGCTCACCAAAACCTCCCGTGACCGAGGATTGGGTGGGCTTTTCTCTGGTTTCACTGTCCCTGTGAGACAAGGCTTTTTCTCCCATTTTTTCTTGGTTTTTTTTTGGCACAGTTAGGTTTTAGTTTTGATTAAGAGAGATGATGTAATTGACCTTAACCAGCTACAATATATATCCCAGTCTCCCTGAAGCTGGAAGTGCTTGGGGCAGGACCAATAGCTGCTGCCCTCCTCCATAGGTATGCTCAGACTTCTTGTGATGAACGTACCTGCCAGCCCAGAACATGAAATGCTCTTTTGTTCCAAGCCTGGGAGCAATCCACTTAGCTGCGTGGAGAGGCAACTAAGAGAAAAATGTGATAAGAGAAGTAGTCTGATAAGGGTTTTTTTGCAGGCTATGGGGAGCTGTGCTGTTCAGGGAGGTGGCTGCTGGCACTCTCAGAAGTGACACTTGGACTGAGTGTCACACAGATGAATGGTTTAAGCWGCCAGCTCTTGCCAAGCGTGTGCATAGTGAGAAAAGGTGGGAGGAAGGTGGGGCTTTCACTGCTCCAGCCACCTTCTCTCTGAGCTCTCTGCAGAGCTTTCCGTGTTTGAGGAGTGTCCAGCTGTTCTGAGAGCAGAATACCACCCTGTCTGGACCAGGATAAGTGTAACTGCACAACACAAGGCATATTAGGRATGTGGTTTGTGGTTTGTGTCTCGCTGGTTCAGGAGATAAACAACTGAATTRCTATTGCCATTGACTGCAAAAAGCATTAAACCAAGTAAGAGACAAGCCTCAGACATGCTCCGCAGTACAGTGGAACACAAGAGGTCTGAGTTCTTCCTGACTCATCTGTAAGTCTGTTTTCAAACAATGACTCTGTGGAAAAACATTCCAGAAATTCTGAGTGCAAGAAAAAGGGGGACTTTTTGCTTCTCTCAGCCTCAGATAGAAAAACGTGCAACTGTTTCTTTGTCTCTGCTTTGCCATGTCCATGTTTGAAGTCTCCTTTCTTCTCTCCCTCTGCAGGTCCTTCAGAAGCTCGGTAAAGCAGATGAAACAAAAGATGAGCAGTTTGAACAGTGTGTGCAGAACTTYAACAAACAGCTGGTAAGATTATTGTGATATGTAATTGCACCCTGGTTTCAGTATTAGCTTCCAGTCATCTGCTGCAATGTGCAATTAAAGGCCATTAAATTAAACAGTGACACAGGCCTATTGAAGTGACCCAGAACTCATAACTGTTCACTTACAAGAAATGACACTGTGACTTCCAGGGTCCCTGTCATGGAATCAGTGAGAGAATCACAGAATATGCTGAGTTGGAAGGGACCCATCAGGATGATTGAGTCCCARCCCCTGGCCCTGCACAGGACACACYRAGAGTCACACGATGTGCTGAGAGCATTGTCCAAAAGCTTCTTGAACTCTTTCAGGCTTGGTGCTGTGACCAYTGCCCAGGCACTGGGGAGCCTGTTCCAATGCCCAACCACCCTCTGAAGAACCTTTGCTTGATACTCAAACTAAATYTCCCCTGCCTCAGCTTCATACTATTTCCTCATGTTCTGTCACTGACCATGAGAGTGAAGACATTGGTAAAAATAAACTTGTTCTAGACCCAAGTTTAGAAAAAGAAATGGTTCAACCAGAACACTGTCTTCAGCTAGCAGCTGCTTTGTAATGTAATTTTTYCTGCTCCGCTGGAAGCATAGATATAAGAGCAACATTGTGTCCCTGAAAGAAGGATGGGATGGAAACAGATCAGAAATTTTTAAAAAATGTAACAAGGCAGTTTCAGTTTCCTAAGCACAGTGAAGGGCAGAAGAGACAAAGAAAGCGAATGGTAAAAAGGGAACATCCTTCCATGGCTGGGACCTAAATCTGACTTCCTCCCCACACTTGCACAATTCCTGTGTCAGGCCTGAGTCATTATCCTTCTGCGTGTCTGCCTCATGTCCAAGATTTTAGTGCACAGAAATATTTTAACAGTGCAGCAATTTTCCCCCACCCTTCTTCTTCAACAGCAGTAGGTTTCTGTCTTCAACTGGGTGTGTTTAGTTTTATTTATTTATTTATTTTTTTTTTTATCTATTTTGGAGGACAAAAAAATATCAAAATTAAAATTGGGTCTTTTTATTTTTTTTTTTTTTTCAACTGGGTGTGTTTAGTTTTATTTATTTATTTATTTTTTTTTTTATCTAGAGCCTTCAGCCACTCAGATGGGAAAACACCAGTGGCACTGTGGGTTTTGCACTCTGTGGGTGCTTGTTTTCAGGGGAAGCCCTGCTTCTGTCTCATGGCAGGAAATGTGTGCCACAGTGTAGCTCAGGTGGTGCTGAAGAAATCTGTTACCCCTTTTGTGGCCTGACACATTTAGGAGTTTTTTCTAGAGCTGTTAGTGGCAGCTGCATCGTGTCTGTTGAGACTCAGCAGATGTGGTTTTGTGTCACAAAACCAGCTGAGTAGGGATTTGCCACAGCTGAATGTAATGAAAATCCTTCAGTCTGCCTTTGTCTAACCAGAGCTGATTGCAGATTCCTGGACTCTAATGCTCGTTCTCTTGGCAGCAGTAGTAGCTGTTGCTCTAGAAGGTCACGCAGCATGTCTGTAGCATATCCAGCAATGATATTCTCGTGTACACAGAATACATTTAATCTGTTTTCTGATAACCTGGCATTACCAGATGTGACTTTTTTGGTATAATTTTTAAGCAATTAAGAAATAACCTTTTTAAACTCATTTAGCATCTGAAATCAAATCCTGAAATGTCAAAAAATCAAATCCAAATTTCTAAATGTGACTGTCTGGGATGGCTTTTCACTTTCCAAAGCCATGAGTGGACCATGAACTAAATTTTCCAACTAATTTATCAAAGAAGCTGGAGACTGCTCTGCACTTGCTGCTTGGGGTTTGCTGGTTTTGCTTTGGCCTTCAGTTTTCCTTTGTTGCTAAAATAAATGCAGACAATGCCTGTTTYACAGGACAAACCATGAGTGTGAATTAGCTGTATTCTTAGGATATCCAGAGCTGAGGAGTTGCCATGCCAGGCAGACCAGGGGAATAAAAAAATCAGCCATATGTGCATATACACACASAGTTGTTTTTATTTATGTGATGTGTCTAGTATAGTTAGATTTGAAATTTCTGTGATTTTTCATTAACAAGTCTGCTCCAGTGGGAAATGGAAGTCTGGAGGAAAGCTRATCTTTTGGTTCAGGCTGATGACAGAACAGCTCTGCTCTCCTATGGAACAGAGGGGGGGTGAGCAGGCAGTGGCCTTGTTCCCTGCCTGATTAGAGGCTCCTCTGACTCTGATGACTGTGCTGGACCACTTTGACACATGTTTCTGTGTGTGGGCTGTCACTGAATGGAGTGCAGGTCTAAAAATCACTTACTCATTTCAGCCAAGGTGTTTGTGGTTCTGYCAGACAGTGGTTCAATGCACATAAGGGAAAGCATTGCACTTCCCACCTCTCTGTCCATCAGGTTCATGTMAGAGCACCATCTGGGATCCCTGGATGGTAGGAACTTTTTAGCTTGGACAGATGGATTTGCTTTGTGACAGAAGAACTGGGCAGAACCATGCAGCTGCAGGGCTTGCCTTTGTCTCTTGAAGGCTTGACTAGCAGCAGAACTGCTCCTCATCACTCCCTCATCGAGATTCTTTGGCTATTAACATCCCCAAAAGTCCATTTGAAGGCTTCCCCCTCCTTCCCTTTCCCAGTGTCACTTGTATTCAGTCAGTGGCACAAGGATCTGTCTCAATATTGTCCTTGCTGACGTGGGAGTGTGAGTCCTGCTGTGAAGGTGCAACTCAGCCCCTGCCCAAGGTGTGCCAGGGTTTGGCTTCCCTTGTCCTGCCTTGAAGCGTTCACTGGAGGGACAGTGGCAGGCTGCTGGCAGCCCTCACACCTGGCACTGTGTGTGTTTCTGCCTGGCACAGCAGCTGGGTTYACCCTTGGTGAGCTGTCACTGGTGTGGAAGCTCTGGGCTGGTGTGCAGCCTTTCACACCGAGCACGGGAGAGGGGATCTGCACCCCCTCTGCCTGCACTGCTCTGTTTGGCACAGCCCCAGTGCAGGGAATGCACCTTCCCTCTTGCAGAGTAGGTTCCTTTTACAGCCAGGAGCTCAGAGAGAGGTTTTCTTCCCAAACAAGAACCCTTCAAGCCCAGCAGTTTCCATTTCAGCCCTGTGTGGTAAAACAGGATTAACAGCCTCCCTGGTACCCCAGGGGGGAGCTTCTCACCAGTTGTTTGTGTTTTATGTCTTAATAATTCTAAAGTTTTACTGAGTGGGGGCTTACCTGGAGCTGTTGTTTCAGTGCTTCCCCTCTCTGTAATTACRAAGTCTGCTCTTCCAGCCCTACATTAATTAAATCTGGAACAGGACATTACCTTCTACCCCCTCAGGTGTCAAACATCCCTGCTGATAATAAAATCTTTCCCACTAGAACTGCAGAACCAGAGACATGATGTAAAGGGGTTACAGTCTAATGTTAGGACAAAATAATTTCTTTTGAAGATTGGGGAAAAAGGGTTTTAGGAAACCTGTCTACTACCAAGAAGCAGCTGTACAGAGAAGCACATGCTTAGCTAGGGCTTGGTTTCAAGGCAAGAAAGCACAAATAGATATCCAACAACTTTGATGTTTTTCTTTCACAGAGATATATAAGTAATAGGTGGTTCCTTAGGTCTTTGGAAAGAGAGAGGTCTTCCAGCAGTTTCTGATTTTAAACGCTGCAATTTTGAATGTTACTGCTCCAGACATTGCAGTGCCCTGGGTGTAATGGGCAAGTTCTGCAGAGGACCTTCCCTGCTTTTGACAACCTCGRTGATGTGAGTTCAGATGTAGTCATTCCTAAAAATGATACAGCTGCAGGATGATAATGTATCCATTGGTGGGACTTTGTGTAACATCTTTTGCAAAACAAGAATATAGAAAAGTGATCACTGCACCTCACAGCCTGCTGTCATTCCTGCTCCTTCCCAGTTTGTGCCCCACTGAGGGGCCCCCCAGTGTAATGGATTTGGACAGCTGAAGACAGCTCCAGAGGCAGGGAGCTCGCAGGACATCTCCAGCAGCTGCCTCARAGCCACTGACCTCAAAAGCAGATGTTTCCCATCAGCCCTCCCCAGCACTCMGGCACCTCTTGTCTCAACTGAGCTCATGCTGTGGTCCTTTGTGCTCCCAGTGCAGCTGTGCTCTCTAAGCAGAGGCTAAATCTGCCCAGCTGTTGAAGTGGCAGTGATAGCAGAGCTTTGTGAGAATTCCATCTGCTTCCAACAGCATGGCCCAATTTGTTTTCCATGCCTCGAAAGTTCTGGATGAGTTYACATTTGTTCTTTTCCTACTGCCATCAGCAAAGGAAATGAGGGATTGGAAAGAGCTGGCCAGTTTTACAAACAGAAAGTCTCCTAGTCTGGGGAAGCATTGGGAACTGACCCAGAGAGAGTATGAGAGGAGAGGAATTGCGACTACATTTGCTGCAAAAGTCCTAGAAGTTCCTAGAACATAGAGCAAAAAAAAAATGCAAAAAATGTGATAGCTTGAGGTTTCATGTARTCATACAACTGATGTGTAGCCCCATCTGCAAGACCAGTTTTCTTGAATTAGAAGTGCTTGAGTGCTTCTTATGCTCTCTGTAGCTGAGAGAGTAATTGATGGTCTCCTTRCGTTCACAGTCCGAAGGCACGAGGCTGCAGAAGGACCTCCGAACTTACTTGGCTTCTGTCAAAGGTAAGGTCTGCTGAGCACAGGATTGTTCCCTCTAGTGCTGCCCTGCACTGGGAGCTTTCTGCAGCCATCCCCTGCCTGCTGTTAACSCAGGGGTGAGCTGCAGGACAGGTCAGCTTTGTCTGGGGAGGAATCCTTCAGAATCCTTCTGGACCATTTGGGATGGAATGGGATCGTGCTTTGATTCCAAACACGTGGTGCTGTCTTGGCAGATGGACCTTCACAGGGTCTGCTTGGGGAGGACAAACACAAAGGGTTTGATGCATTTGCAYCCTCAGCTCCTTTCTCCCTCTGGTTACATTCCATTCCTGTGCCTCCATTCCTCGGGATAAGGGTTAAAMTGTGTGCAACACGTTATTTTCTTCTTTGTCTGAACAGTTCCCTCTTCTTTCCTAGCTATGCACGAGGCCTCCAAGAAGCTGACAGAGTGTTTGCAGGAAGTTTATGAGCCAGATTGGCCTGGGAGAGATGACACAAATAAAATAGCAGAGGTAAGACTTTGTCCAGGATGTGGGGATRTCCAGACTCGCTCTGTCAGCAGAGATGAGCTTTGGAAGCTGTGTCTGTGCACCACATTTCTTCAGGCATATGACTTTGCAGAAGAATTGGAGGCAAGCTCAGTCTTGTGAAGAAAGGAAGGCTGAAAGGATGTGGCCTGTATTTTTGTAGGACACTGTTACCAGATGCCTGTGTGTTACACAGAACCATACACTTATGCTGAGAAGCAATTTGTTCCCCCATAGTGGCTAAATGGGGGCCCAGGATGCCAAAAGAGAGTCAGTAGGGTTGACTGTGTGTACTGCTTATATTCTGTGTAAGAGAAAGGGGAAGATAAAGCTATGGCTAAAGCACAGCCAGAGCAGCCAGCAGTGCAGCTGCAACAGCCCCTCCTGGCAGTGCCCCCAGCTGCCTTATTTCAGTTGTCCCCTTGTTTGGCYGAGCCATGTGTCACCCCAAACTGCTGCTGTTCTCATGGTGAGGTGGTGCCTGTCCAACTTGCCCAGGTGTTTTCTGTGGGGTTTGGGGCACAGGCTGTCATTTGGATCCCCCTTGGCTTGTGCCTGTGGTGGGTCCAGCTGGAGCAGCACCCTCTGCTCTCTTGTTCAGCTGTTCTGCTGAGCAGCAGCTGTGGCAGTTCGGCTCTGTGGACTCATTTGCCACGAAGCTGCAGGATTTGGCTTATCTGCAGCTGTCTGGCATTGGAGAAGTGGTGGAGGAGCAGGCAGGAGAGCAGGAGGAGGATTCTTTCCTTCCCCTTCTTTCCCCTGCAGACAGTCTCACCTGAAATAACATCTGYATCTTGCCCAGGAAATAAGGACTTCAAAGCAGATAAGTCAAACAAAACCTGAATGTTTCCAGATCAATTTTTTTATTAWCATGGAAACTTTGCATTAGGAAGTGCTGTTGCAGTAAATAATGAAGTTGTATTTCAGCTGGTTTGGCTTCACAGTCTCTTGTCCTTGTTTCTTCCTGAGCCACTCTTGTGCCTCCTGAGAGACTGACCCTTCAGAAGACTGGAGCCAGAGAGGTCAAAGGGAGCATGAATCCTGAGAACTTACTGCAGATACCCTTTGGGTCTGCAGSAATATTTSCAGCTCTCCACCTCCACCTTTAATRCCTTGTTTYCATTTTGCTTGTGAAAAGACAGGTGAGAGAGAAGAGTTATTCCTGCCAAATAAAAAGCATAGAGTGGGATTTTTTCCTAATGCTTTAACCAAAACTCTTTTTTCAAGTGGAAAAACAGGAGAGAGTGGGAATTTTCACCTACAACACTCACAGAGAAAAACAGAAATGTGGAGCCCTGTGTTCTTAAAAGTTAGCTCATTACTTTTGTTTTCCAGAACAACGATCTCCTATGGACAGATTTTCATCAGAAGTTGGTGGATCAAGCACTTCTGACCATGGATACATACCTTGGCCAATTTCCAGATATTAAGGTAAGGTTCTCTTTAAATCKTTTTATCTAGAGATAAAAGCCCTGAAGATCAATTTCTTACATCCCCGTCTTCTTTAGGAGGATGTGTTTGCGGTGTTGCTTCAAGGTCTTCTTTGAGAGCAGCCAAGATCTCTGCAGCTCTGGGTTAKGTGAAAATGTTTTGTTACATTTTTGGGGCTTAAAATAAGAGTGGAGAATCYGRGGGAAAGATGCTGAAGAGAAAATARTAAGTGTSAAACAGGAGGATCCATGAAATTCCTTATTGCATCAGAGTGCAGTGTCAGCAATAGCTCAGAATGTCTCAGTTAATGGCCAATGTACTTTGCAAGTGAGGCTGGTGTGGAAGGCAGATTTCTGTGACCCCTTGAAGTCCTGCCCAGCTTTTTTCAGGGAAGGGGAATGCTGGATGKGTGTCTTCTTGGGAGAGATTGTACCCAAGACCCGGGTTTGAATGTCCTGTGACCTTCCCTTCCCCCACAGTTGTCTCCTTTCCATTCATTTCGAGGTTAAGCAGGAAATGTCTTCACCATATGGGAGTTCTAGTAATGATATCACCATATGGGAAGTATCAGCTTGGCTACTTTCCAGTGAAAACAACCCTTTCYCCACCACATGTCTCTTAAAACGTTTGTCAATATTTATTGCTTCAGGAGGATTGTGCTCTATCCAGTGGGGGCAGGTCACTGGTTTGTGAAATGAGCCCTGAACAGCAATGTCCTTGTCTCCTGGGGCTCTTTTGTTTTTGCTTCATTTTTCCAGTCTCTTCAGCCCCTGGAGGTCTGAAGTGGGGAAGGGCTGAGGCTTTCCACCCACTGAAGGCTGTCGGGTTGATCTCTCCGGGGTGTGATGCCACGGGCCTCAGTCAGCAGTGCAGTCTCTGAAATGAAAACCATCACACATACCTGAAAATCCTGSCCTTTTCTCTCTGAATTCAACAATCATGTTTGTTTATATTAGAAGGAAAAGTTACAACCTTTGACCTGAAGCTGTCATTATGTCTGCAAATGAAGATTCTTGCTACACCATTTACTGACACTGATGGTTTCACTCTGTTGGCATCACCATGGTTGACCTCAGCAGCCTGAATTTTACCCACAGGTCTGAAAAGTATGGGAACAAATAGGTGTGCAAAGATGAATAGATTAAAATATTTGCTAGAGGCAGYTGACTTCTGAATGGGTCACTGAGGTGTTTTTCACTAATGTTCTTTCTCYGTGGTCAGATGATGCCCTAGAAAAGGGGAATTTTATTGTATTGCATAAAAACAATTTTATGCACAATTCAAGTAGTGTTTTAGAGAGCACTACTCACCTCAGCTCCCTTCCTAAAATGAGTGGCTTTGGGCTGGTTCTTATGATAAGCTATGGATGTGTTTCTCGAGAGTTGGCTATTCCTTTAAAAAGTGCTTTCAGTGGTATGAACTTAAAAATGGTCAGTATGTTTTTATGTGTGATTCAGCTGGATGCATCATCCTCCTGGAGCAGAGAGCTCATATCAAGTGTATTCAGGTGGTAGAAGCTCCTAGAAATGCAGTTGTTGAACATTGCTACACTGTACAGAAGTATAGTTTGGCTTCACATAAGGAATTGGAATTCTTGAGATTGRCAGGCAAAAAAAGCCCCAGTCTTAYGTATTTTTCAGAATATTTGARTTGTTTTTTGTTGTTGTGGTAATAGTTTTCTGGTTTTTGTTTTCCGCAAAATAGTTTTCTGCTTTTCCTGGAATTTTGGCATTACTGTGATACAAATAGTTGATTTATGAAGAGAAGATGTGTGATGATCTTTACACATTTTAGCTGTGTAAAGGCCTGTTTTTTAATGGTGCAGTAATTAAAATGCGTGATGAGTTASATCATGCATGCATTATTTTTTTGTTAAATTCTAATATGTTCTGAATCCATCTTCACTTGCGGGGCTGGAAAAATTCCCTTGGATTTTTTGGACTTGAAAAGGGATCCTCAGCAGGAATGCGAAAACAGAACATGCCTTTAGWGAGAGATTTTTGTGTGTTAAAGAAAATAATTTTTCCAATGTTGGGTGTTCACCCCTGAACAAGGCCTCTAGATCTTCTCTAACTTGAGAAATGGGAATGCAAAAAGTACTTTAGGCTTTCTTTGCAGGTCAGTGTTTGTACTTCCTGGAGTAGGACTCTTCTTGCATAAACTTTAATATTTCTGAGTGAGTTTTGGGTTGGTTTTGCAGAATATGCAGTAAGAACACAGGTCTCTGCAGTGAGCCCAAAGAACATATACTACAGCCCAAATKCAGAACAGTTGTAGAAATGGGAATTTCCTGTCTTGCACTGAAAYTGGCACTCTACTAGCTGTAAAACCAAATATCAGTGCAGGAGGGTGTGGTGAGGAAAAGTTTCTTGTGATGGTTTGGCCTTGKTTTGGGTTTGTTTGTTTTTTTRAGGAGGCTCTAATGAAGATGGATTTGCTGCAAAGCAGTAAACTCTGTTGGAGTTCAGCTGTTAAGTTCAGGTGGTGGTGGGTACCTGCAGCTGTCCTGGGAGCTCTACAGCCCTCCAGGACTGGGCTAAATCCCATYAGTGCCATCACAGGCAATGGTGTGATCGGTGGTTACCCCAGGATGTACCTTGCAGCATTTCCATGTACTCCAGTACATGGGGGTGGGTGTTGGAAATTTGGGAGCTGCATAAACACGGCAGAGTGACTTTGAGAGATGGGTGACATTGAATCAAACTCCCTGGTGGGGTAGCAGGAGAGCCTGGAAGTCACTGTTTGCCATGTCAGAGGTGAGGAAAACTCCTGCTATCCCTACCAGTCTGAGCTGGGGGAAGATGACATCTTTTAAATCCCAAATGGGGCGGTGTGTTTCCTCTATAAGGGGCATTTACTTGCCCCTCAGATTGCTGTGCCCCTCCAATGCCTTGTCTCCTGGCTGGCAGTGTGATATTTGGGAGGTGTCTTTGGGTGACCTTGGCTGTGGGGTGGCTCAGTCTCTTCGTGACTTCTCTCTTGGAGTGAGCTGAGCGTTCAGCAGTGAGTTTTGGGGTGTTTGTGGCTGATCCTGCAGCTCTGTCTGACTCCAGGGCACTGCACCAGCGTGGAGGAGTCATGTGTGGGAGATGTGAGTGGGAGATGTGCATGGCAGACGTGCCTGGGAGGTGTGAGTGGGAGCTGTGCGAGCTGCCCCAGCTGCTCTGGCCCAGAGATCAGTCCTGAGTGTGGTTTTGCAGCTTATCTGCAGGAGCCTGGGGAGAGGAAACCACAGCTCCCTGCCAAGCACAGGAGAGGAGGGGATTCTGCAAGTAAATCCCAGTGCTGATTCCTCATTMTGCACTTTCTGTGTCCCTGGGTTTTGTGGTTAGCTGGAAATSCTCCTGGCTCCTTGCCATGCCTTTTCACTCTCTTCTCCAGCTTGTCTCTGGACTGCTGATTGCTGATGCTGGTCCAGGCTCTCTGAGCTGGGGGTTGTGTGCTCCAGCCCTGGGGTTTTGCATGCAGTGTGGGAGGCTGAGGGGATGGATGGTTCATAAAACAGGGCAGCCCAGTGGGYCAGAGCCTCAATAAAGTGCAACTCTGCTGGCAGAGAGAGAGCCTGAGGCTCCTCAGCTCAAGAAGGGTAACAGAGGATCAGGCCACAGGCCTGACTGTCTGTCCTGGATTCTCACCRTGGATTTGTCAGGATTCCATTCCCAAATCTGAGTCTGGTACACAGTCAGTTATGGCTTCAGTGTTGCCTGTGGTGCTTCAGGTTTTCCCTTGCTCTTGCCATGCCTAAATGCTGGTCACAGCACACATATGCCTGTGGCTGCAGTCCCTGCCCTCTGCAGCTCCTGTCACAGGGTCCAAAATGCTCTCTTAGGCATGTCCTGAGCATGTGGATGAGTGCTTTTGCTGTGCTGGCAAAGTTCTTTTGGTGAACTTAATCTATCAAGCTTCCACACGGCCTAGTGAGCTGGTTGTTAGAGAGCAGCTGCAGCCCTCAGGAAACCCTGGCAATGATGAAGCAGTGCCTGTRGGATGCAGCCACATTGTGRGGYTTAGGAAGCARTGGAGCTACWGTCCTGAAAACATTCMTGTCACCCAGAGGTGGGGCCTCTTYGTTGGATCCCTTTCCCTGGATGGATCCACCCTCCTCCTGAGGAGCTCCCTCTAGAATGCTCCTTGCCRTAGATGCCTCTCTGGGCATCCTGTGTGGAAGATGCAGGGAGAGTCCTTGTGTGATGCTCTGGAAGTCGGGTGAAGAGAAGGGATTTTTTTTCCTGGGAGGTTTTGTAGTTTTGGCTGCTGGGGGAGATTGGTGTAACTCTTTTCTCCATCTTTCCCAGTCTCGTATCGCGAAGCGGGGAAGGAAGCTTGTGGATTACGACAGTGCCAGACACCACTTTGAAGCCCTGCAAACTGCAAAGAAGAAGGATGAAACCAAAATCGCAAAGGTAAAGCAAACAGGAGGATATGCAGCCATCCTTTCATTTCGGGAAGTCTGCATTTGCCTATTGAGCAGCTTTTAAGTTCACCTGTACCTCTTCATTGTGTTTTCATAGAATTCATGCATATTGGAAAGGACCTTTAAGATCATTGAAGTGTTGTGAACTGGTGAGGTTTTGCTAGGTATTTCCTTCTTATTTATTTAGTGTTCTTGGAAGGCAGAGTGGTCTCTGTTGGGTTGGTTCACACCCACCATCATCAGTCTGCWTGTCTTGGTGGCCAAATGCTTGGACATGGCTTTGGTCACAAGCACAGGACCAGGAACCTCTGGCAGAAAAGCCTGTGTGYCCCTTGGGGAAGCAAAATCATGTTCCAGATAAATGTTCCAGATCCTGTTTCTAGGGTCKCCGTCTCCCCATCCTAGAGCAGTGGTAAGAATGTTTTGAGCATTAACTTGAGGTTGGTTGTGTTTGTGAATTCCTTTGATATCCTAGGAGAGGCCCTTAGGAGTGTGAGTGACATCAAGGGAAATGCACTCTGTGCACATTTGATGAATGTTTCTATTGTTTTTTGGTGACAATTACTGGATAATAAATATGGCTGAAAAATTAAGAGTTTTCTCTTGTAAGGTTTCTTTCCTGTCTGTGAGTAGCTTGATCGAGCGTTTGCCCAACACTCAAATKAAGAGTTTTACTTTTAATGAGATTTATTTGAATTAAAAATGAAGTTTGCTTTTTTTTCAAATGTAGCTGAAGAAAGATAATGGTGCTAACTTTGTTCTAAAGTAGGCACATAGATTGAATACAACCCCTGAAATGAGCTGTGCATTYCTCTTGTACCCTAAGTGTATTTGAACCCATGTGCTTCCCTTCACAGGACACTTCTTGACACAACAGAATAGTCCAGGTCAGGGGAGACACCTTTAATTCTCTTCAATGTAGGCCATGGTAAATTGTGACTCTTCAGGGTAGAAGCAGAGTACAGGAAAGAAAGAGCCTGGATCTTTGTCTTTTAACCAGGCTGACAAAAGTTGTCATCCTTTGCTTAGGTTATTTCTGGTAGGGAGGAATGTGAGCTATGTGAGAGATGCTGKTGTTTTTTCCTGCATGGAAGAAATTAAGATGCATCTCTAACCTGGGTGAAAGATGTGAATTTAGTGGCCACAGTACTTTTATTGCTAAACTGCAAGTCATCAGTCATCTACTCTGCACTGCATGCACTGTGATTAACCTTGACAGACAAAAGGGGAGAGAGATTGATGGCCCAAGTGTCACTGCATCGTTTGTGTGGCAAAGCAAGTCTTGATTCTTTATGCACGGCATGAGGCCCAGCTGGTTGTGCCTTCAGTTCAAGGCAGTAATTCATTGTGTTTGGGGTAAGASCAGAATTTCCCTGGGGCGAGTTATTTTATCTGTGCATGCCAGTGGGATCTTTGCTGCAGCGGAAATGKTTTTTGTAGGAGTTGATCTGCTCAGGTTGGTACCTTGTGTTTGCAGCAGAGGTTGGCTGCCTTTAGCATTGCTGCACTCGCTGTTGCCCCAAATGCTCACCTGAGATGATACAACAGGTATKGAAAAATGTGCAGCTCAAAGAGTGAAATATTGAGAGTTAGGAGTTGGTTCTCTATTCCTGATTTAGCCTGTGCAAGGGTCTCTTAGTACTTGATGCGACTCTTCTCATTAGTCAAAAGTGCACTGGGTCAGATCTTACTGCTCTGAGGCCATAAGCTCATGCACAGGATAATCYGTGACATGTTGCATTGTCCTGATCCTGCAATGATGGGGGCAGAGAGTCCCAGGGAGTTGTGTAGGTCTGGTCTTGCCAAGGGGGCATTTTTCAGTGCCCAGCCTGTGGTCTGCCCTTGGCAGTCACGCAGCTCTGCAGGGCTCAGCATGCACTCGGCTGCTGTGGGTAGTTCACCTCTCTGCTCCTCCACTGTGCCTGYAGTTTTGCTCCTGTGACCTTTGAAGCAGGGCTGCTCCAGTGTGAGTTACATTGGAATGTGATGACAGACACCTAGGAAAGAGAAACCACATTTCTGACACAGGATACAAGTGGGAACTGGCTTGATTAAGGTTTCATGGTATAGTAACAGAAACAGCAGTGCAAATACTTTTTGGCACTGTATGGTCTCTTTTTTTCTCCTCTAATATCTGGATGTTCTTTTCCCACCCAGGATCCCTGCTACTTATTACTAAACTTACATCCTGCTATTAAAATAAATCACTGGACTTTCAGCTGTTGCATGCAAATAATTATGACGGTTAATTAATCCTGACCTCTCTTTAAGGAGCTCCAACTTCACAGCCATGCCTTGGAGTAGGGKTGTCTGTGTGCTAGGTCACTAACAACTGTATCTGTTGCTCTTACAGCTGCCTGGCTGGTCTGCAGTGTCCAGCCCACACGGGAGCATTAATTACTGCTAAACTTGGCATGCTTCAAAGGATTCATAACTGATCAGTCCCAGGATGTTTGTTTTTTTCTCTYGCCTTGGTGATACTGGTTTGGCCCAGCCTCTAAATACACTCTCTGTTGTGATTTTAATTTTTTTTATCCTAAAAGATATATGTTTGTGTCTCTCTTGTTCTCTGTTTATTTGTGTTTTTTTCTTGTTTTGTTTTTTTTTTCTCCACTCAAACATGCTCCCTCCCCCAGCCTGTTTCGCTGCTTGAGAAAGCTGCGCCTCAGTGGTGTCAAGGGAAGCTACAAGCTCACCTCGTTGCACAAACTAATCTGCTCCGAAATCAGGTGACTGCTGATCTACCTGGCTCTAACCCTGCATGCGCTATTTTGGGCTCTAGATGGTACCATGCCAGTAATCTCCAGGCAACGTTCACTCTAGTCCTGTCCCTCAGGTGTGTCCTTSACACTCCTAAACCACAGTGGGAGTTACAGTGAATGAATCTGTTCCTGCCCCATTGATTTCTACTCAGGTGTGTTCATACTGCATTGTTGTTTTCTCCCCCTAAAATGAAATGTGGATGAAGAAAGGCTATGGAATAACTCCAAGAGAGGGTGATGTAGTACAGTTTCTCCAATTACTGCTTTCATTTTGCTCGAAGAGAAACAGTCAATTTTTATTGTTGCTGTTTCAAAAAAACCAAAAAAAGGAAATGCTGGAAAATTGGCTTGTGTATTCATGTCCTTGAATAAAGCCAGAAAAAAAAAAAACCCATCGCGATTTCTATGGCTGCTGAGTTAGGTTGCAGCATTCTGCTGTTGTAAAGTAAAAGTTTCCCAAATGTGCATTGTCCTGGCTGCTGTGGTTTAAAAGAGACATTTTTTGATACAATTTCGATCTGCAGAGATGAGGTGGGCCCAGATCAGGCAATTTGCACCTGTGTGATATATTTGAACAGTTCCAGGCTGAGGTCATGGTGGTGTCACCTGGCAGAACTTGGGTTCATCTTGAGGGATGTGAGCAGCTCAGAGGAGCTGCAGGGAATGAAAATTTCAGTCCTGCTTGCAGTGAAGTGTGATTTCCTGATGAAATCTCSATCAGWGTTTCTGTTGGAACACCTTAAGGAGTGAGAGGGAGTTGTCAGCAGACAGTCAGTGAGAAAAAAATGTTTCCATTGAGCAATAAATCCCTACCCGGACTGGGTGAGCGCCAGTTACCTGATCACAGGTTCCTGTGAGCTCATCTGTTCTCATTCAAATGCTCCCATGTCCTCACATTCCTCCTCAGTGAATGAATAGAAGTTTAGAAACACTGAGCCCCTGGGTTTTTCACACTCACTTGGTGACTGTGGACCAGGGAAATACTCAATTACCACATCAGTAAAGCCTGGGGAAAGAGCAGCTGTGAGCAGCCCTGCTTAAGGTGCAGAGCAAAGGGAGGAAATGGGTGTTCATTCTTGATGGAAGGGAGGAGAACACATGGCAGAGTGCCGGGGGCTTTCCCTGTGCCTCTGCTGGCCCCTGACTGGTCTGTTTGACTGGTGGGATTTCCAAARGACTGGAAAACAGGTATGGGARGTTTCTCAAGTCACAAATAACTACRTAAATCAATCAGCTCTYRGGCATTTTTGCTCTTTTGGGACTTGTCTGTTGTGACTGGTGTGATAGCAGCACACACAGATTGCCCAGAGAAGCAGAACCTACAACTGCCCCTCATCCATTGCCCGTGGATCTCAGGCACACAGGGCTACCAAGAGTCACTCTGTAATTCCACTGTGTGGGATGACTGCCCTAMAGCGTGTGCAAGGGGCTGTGTAATCTTTCCACCCACTGTGGTGCGGGGGTGTTAATCTCCTAATACATGCCATTAATATTTTTAGTGACCACAGATATTTTCAAAACCATCCCTTTTATTCCTGAGCTAAGTAATGCTGTTGCCTACCCTAAATTTTTGTTTCTACTTGTGTAAGTATTTGTTTTTTTTTTTTCTTTGTTTCTTTATTTTAATTTTACTTTTGATTGGAAATAACAAAAAAAAACCCCTCAGTAAAGAACATGAGCTGTATTCTGAACTTGTAAGTTTGCTGGCTTGCTTTCACRAACATTAACAGGTAGGTAAAAGAAGGCTTCTGTTTTTACATTTGTATGATTTCAAGACTGAGGGTGTTAATGACAGCCCTAAATCTCATTAACCTTTTGATAAAATCGGGAGAGCTGTGTTTATTGAGAAGCTTCAGATGTTAAGCCTGAGAAAAAAAGGTCTCCTTTTACMAGCAGCTGTGTTGCTGTCTCTTCTTGCCTGATAATTTTACAACCTCCATGCAGAAATGGGGTCAGTGAGATCTGGTGTTTCYACTGTAAAGTTCCTCCCTCCAGTGTTCTGGCTCTTTAGGCCTTTAGCAGATAATTACACAAACAACACAGTGAAGTTTTTTGTGAAGTCTCCTGGGGGAGTTGCTATTGCACACTCCCAGTTAGAAATGTTAGTGACTTATTTTTGAAACAAAGAGGAAAATGGCTTAGAACAGCAAATTCTTGCCTCTTGACTAGGCTCCACTGACATGTTTAATACAGACTAAAAAGCACCATCCTTGGGGCTGCAGTGATAACAGAACAATATCTCTGTCTGTAGGGAAAAGTCAGCAAGTTGAGTCCTTCTGAGAGACAAATCTGGCTGGGACTGGTGGGGCTTGGGCCTGGAGGGAGTCTCTGTGCTCCCTTATCCCTGCCTCTTGGATATCTAAGCGATTTACTGAGCAATGCCTAATTACCACAACATAGTCTGAAGGGAAGGTCACCAGACAGCCTGAAAGCACCAGAATGGACATAACCAGACACTCAGGAGGGCTGAGATGTGTGGTAGTAGGAGAAATACTGTGGAAAAATTGCCCCCTGCCCCACAGCTGAACTGGCTGTGCTTGGCACTCTGAGCCTTGGCAAGATGGAGGGTCAGGAAAGCATTTATGTTTCATAAATGCTCCTGCTCAAACCTTCCTCCTTTCAGGCAGGGAGAAAGATTTTCTGAGATCATATTTTGTGGACGTGGGCATTATGTCCTTGTGCCTCAGTTTCCCCTCGGGGTGAAATCAGGAATCGCCCAGCCCTGGTGGCAGTGAGCTCTGCCCTGGAAGCTGTCTCTGCCTTTCCCCACCTCTCTCCATGAGCTGCCTTTTCCCCCAGCAGGGTCTGTGCCCAGGCTGATGTCTGGCTTTGGCTCTGGCTGGAAGCAGTCAGGGCTATCAAGTGCCAGCATTCCGGCTTCCCAGCAAGGTAAATCCCACTGGTGAGAGGATCCCTGGGCTAACTTAGGACTGAGGAATTAATTCAGTGCTGTACCTGGAAATGGCAGTGYTGGCTGAGCCACAGGCACGGGATGGATCCCTGATTCCTGCACCTGCTCTAGAGTGAACGTTGCCTGTTGCTGATTTTGCCTTTGCCTCGGGATGTCACAATATTCACGCATTGCTTTCTAGGTTCTTTGACCTTAAAAACAGGTAAAGGAGAGAGGGAAAGACTGTTATTGATATTCACCATGTCTGAAAAACTAACAGCATTCAATGATGCCTCATCTCCCAACTTTCACATCTCCTGGGTTGATTCTGGTTCCAGTATAGCTTGGAAGTTAGAGTAAGATAAAGCCAAAGGGTGGACTGGTTGGTTTTATTTGTTTTTTTTTTCCTTTAAAATGATTGCATTAGAAACTTATTCATAAGGGTATTTTAAGGCAAAATGAGTCTTTGTGGTCATTGTCTCTCATTCATAAACTGTGTCTCTTGTTTTAAAGACTTTTCGTTTGTTTTGTGCAAACCCTCTTGAAATGTTGAGTTTTTCAGTGAGTGTAGCAGCGAAACAGGGGTTTCTGGGTGGAAGCATCATGACCCTTTCTCCCCTTGCCTGTTCCTCACAAGGTCTGCTTAATTTCTGAAATATTCCCAGTTGTGTCTTTTTCTGGGAGAAGCTTTCTCCTGTGATCTYGAGTGCAGAGCCTTAGCCTTGCCTCTGGCAGCAATGAGCAACCCTTGGACAGGTGAAGCTAGCTGGAAAGTAGGAGCTCCTGTGGTTTACTCGTGAGTCAGGAGATGAATGGAGAGTTAAAGGGTCCTACACTATGTAATAGAGAGTGATTCCTGTGAGGAACAGGATTCTGAACTAAAAGATATTTTTAAGCCCTTTTTCCCATGAGGCCTGTCGTTGTGCATACCTGTCACTAAGGAGCAGTAAGCTGGATTTCTTTAATTAAGCTGACACAGAGAAGATAAAACTTGATTTCATAGAAGGTGGATGAATCTGACTGCAGGCTCGTAGGGAGATCCAGCTTCCATGGCTTGTGGGCTCTTTGCAGACACCTTGGGCATTGTGAAATTCCTGCTGTTGTCACATACACAGACACTTGTGCTGACCTTCCAAGTTGCTCATGCAGGGATTTTTCTATTCTGCATCCCACTGCATGGGTTTATGGGAGAATGCTAAGCTGTTATAGATTACAGGATAGAAATACTTCAATTAAAAAACTTTGAGTTTTAAGYCAGGGCACTGAAAAGAGAAAGAGGGCACCTAGGACAGATGTAGGAAAAGGCATGTGCTTGTTGCTGGTGTCTGCTGTCAGCAACAGAAACCAGGATCACCCTTTTTGTTGCTGAAAACTGACAGAATTCATCCATCATTGCTGGGATCTGTCAGTGTCTAGGTCCAATGAACAGGTCGAATTTAAACTCTCATTTGGGAGAAAAAAATCCTTTTTGGTGTTGGGGCCGACAGCCAGCCAGGGATTGCGCTTGTGGGGGCCACTGAAACCCAGAGCTGTTGCTGAAGCCCTGCAGCCTGGGCTCCCTCTGGCACAACTCATGCTTTGCAYACCCTTCCTTGCTTCTCCAGTCAGCTTTGTGGGACAGCTGTAGCAGCCCAGGATGCAGACCCCCTCCCTTGCTCAGAAGAGATGGGGCTTCAGCATGACCTTACCTCAGCAGAGAGTCCCAGCCAGGGAGGGTTCTACTCTAAAGCCATTTGGGATGGATTTCAACTCTTTCTGAGACCTGGCAAGGGACAGAGGCCCYTGTTACCTTCTTCTGTGTCCAGGCTGGAGGCTGAACTGCCTGACCAACTCCATTCAGATTTGGAAGCCAGGGAAAATTACAGAACTTTACTTTCTGAGTGTGCAAATGGGGAAATCCATTGAGAGAAAGCCTGAGAGGAGCACATTCAAACTGAAGGGGCATCAGATCACCTGTGATGCAACCCTGGTTCCTGGGAGACTCATTTGGGATGCTGGTTTATCTCATGCCRGAGTTTTGCCTGGTCTCCCAAAGAAGTGAAAGAGTCACAGTTGTCCCAACCTTTAGGGTACTTGTCTGTGCTGGAGCTGACAATCTCCCTTCTCTGTTACTAAGGCTGAAGAAGAGTTAGTAAAGGCTCAGAAGGTGTTTGAAGAGATGAATGTTGATCTGCAGGAGGAACTGCCTTCGCTATGGAATAGGTGAGTGCTGGAAGTTTTTCAGAGGGCTGGTTGGAAAGAAGCAGATATCCAAGCTCTTGTATTACTGTTTGTCTTAACCTAGACTGGGTTTCAGCTCTTTTTTTTTTTTTTCCTGGATCATCTCCATCTGTCCTAAGATTGCCCCCAGCCAGGTTCACTCTGTGCCTTATTTCCTGAAAATCATGATTTTAGCCCAAAGAGAAGCTCTATTTCTCTGCTTTGTCTGCTTAATCTCTTTGCCCTACCAGTTCTGCCTGCCCAACTTTCTTGAAAGACTTGGGAGACCATGGGTTTGCCATACCAGTGACTGTGGTAATGAAAAGGAAGGTGAAACAAAGACTGACATTTAGCTTGAGGGATGAACTGTAGTGCAGCAGAAGCTGATTTATGGAGAGGACACAGTGGAAAGCTGGCAGAATCTTCCTAGGGGTACTCATCCCAGTTTGTTATTTTTAAATGCAGTGGTCATGTCCAGGTTGGCAGTGCTGGTCTGTGAGGATTGAGAAAGTGGGCAATACCTAGACCTCCCTCCCCCTTTAACCAGCACAAATTCAGATCCTATCCCACTTGTTCTCCTTTTCCCCTGGACATGTTTGCCCTGTGCCTGGCCTTTGCTCCATCATTCCCTTCACACTTCCCTGCTTCCCTCTCTTGCCACATGTCCCACACCTGACAGAGTTGAGTTTGAATGGGAATGGTGGGTGGGAGGTAGCAGAAGGGGCAGGATTGAAAGGTTTTGAGAGAGCATTGTGTCCATTAAGTTCTTCTGTCTTGTTTTTCATTTGGCAGTCGTGTTGGTTTCTATGTCAACACATTCCAGAGTATAGCTGGCCTAGAGGAGAACTTCCATAAAGAAATGAGCAAGGTAAGGCAACTGACAGCTTATCATGCTTACCATCTCTTCACTGTTCGTAAAAAAACAAAAACTGAACCCCAACAAACAAAATAAAACAAACAAAAAAACCCCAACTAACCAAGAAAAACCCCTACAAACAAAAAAACCCAGAAACCTCAGAGATCTCAGGACCAGTCTGTGGGAAAGTCCCCCACTGCCACTCTCATTTACAAATGTGTTCTTGTTCTTTCAGTTAAGAGCTAGAGAAATCCTGAATTCCTTAGGTCTGTACGCTGCTTCCAAGACTTGACAATGTAAATGTTGCAGTAATCTTGAGGAGGAACTGAGAGCCCAGCTGGAAAACCCTTATATTCCCTCTGCTCCCTAATGTCATCCTGACAACAAAACAGCCCCTAAGCAACAGGAAACATTATAGTCCTTMAATTCCCAGCAGTCAGGGGCCCTCTGCCTTGGTGTAACACATCAATTTTGAGCCCTGCTGACATTTTACGGGGCCTTTTCCAGTTAATAGCCTGCTCCTCTCCACTGAGGGATGAGCTAAGTGTTAAGGATAGGGAGGATTGTTATAATTATTAGTTGGTTGCTGTTAACTTGCATTCAAGAAAACATGGGAAAGATGCTTGTTGGACAGGAATTCTCTTGTACGATTTTTCTTGTTAGGATTTTGTCTTTCTTAAGGAGTTTTGTATGAAGGCAGGGATTTTCCTTTGTTCCATAAGAACCATCTGTTTCTTATTACTGCTGCAGCACCCWATTAATTGCTGGTGTTGCCTGCACAGTGCTTCCAACATTGATTGCATGGGATCCCTCCTCCTACGATGATAAATCTGGCTTCTTGTCCTGTTTATGGATTGGCTGTTTCAGAATAGTCTGGAGTGACYATTGCAGCCTTCACTGCCAAGGAGAGTTTAACCCCTAATGTTGCATTTTTACAAAGATATCCAAGTTCTGCCCAAGCCCACATGGCCTGGGCAGCCTGTGAAGTTAAAGCTTGTTCACCTGAAGCCCTGTGGCTTCTCAAATGGCCATGTCCCAAGCTTTGGTAAGCAGGTTTGAGGAACAGCTTTTGGCTGCAACTCCAGAGTGAAACTCCAGCTGTAGCACAGAGATCCTGGGTAAACACTCAGCCTGCYCCTGCAGTGGTACCTGGCTGTACAATGGTGGGCCTGGGGGTTGGGAAGCAAAGAGGATAATTTGTGAGGAACACAGAGCATTCCCAGGGGTGCCAGCAGCTCTTGGGCAGCTCAAGTACTGTAGCACTCCATACAGAGCAGTGGAAACACATTCAGGGCTGTCCTCTCTTGGGATGGCTGAGGAAGTGTGCATGTCCTGCCACAAGCCTGTGTTTGCTCAGTCTGTGCAGGCCAGCCCAGACTTTTCTGGCATTTGGACTCTTTTCTGAATCTTTTTCTTTCTTGTGTTTTTGTCTTTTGCAGTTGAACCAAAATCTTCATGATGTCCTGCTGGGTCTAGACAAGCAGTACTCAGGCAATGCCTTCCCTGTTAAAGCACAGCCCAGGTCAGTAACTATGGGTGGTGTTTTCCCCTCAGCAGGGGTGGTGGGACAGGGATATCCCTACCCAGGGGTGTTGAAACCTCCATGTTGTCWGTTGGGAGTGGTTTGACCATCTGCCAGTGCCCTCTRAGACTTCCTAGAGCATACMCAAGATTGCACTTGTGACTGGGTGRCACAGTGCAATACCTCTTACCTTTCTAGGATAGCATGTGAAGCCTAAGCTTTCCCGAGGTGCTGATATTTAGGCAACTCTCAGCTCTGCTTTTAAAAGTCTAATTCCATCTACTGAGCTGCCCTTTCTTCTGGGTCCAGTTGCCCAGCCCCTGTCTTGTTTTTTTTGCCTCAAAATCTTTCACCACATACCTGCAGCTTGTCAGTTTGAGCACCAAGAGCCCATCTCTTCAGTCCCTTCCTTGGCCCTCCATACCTGGAATCACCAATTTACTGAAGCCTTATCCCCATCCCGTGTACCCACCTGGAGGGTGTTTCCTGTGTTTGTAGGAGCCTCACTAACACGAGACTTCCTGAGCTCAGAGCCCTTTCAGGCTGTGTGTGTGCAAGAAGTGAGTGTCCTGTGGGCTGCTTTCCTCATCTGGGTCCTGTCCTGTATGTTTAAGTGCAAGTCTGCACATTCCCTAGCACTGAGAAGGGAGGGAGAGGCTGGGCTCTGCTGAGGCTGCCTGGCTCCCATCCAAGTGCACAAGTGATGAAATAGTGTTGGGCTCTGGCTTCCAGCTGCTGCTGATCCCATGTGCTGGGTGAGCAGAGCACAGCCCAGCTCCTCAGTTGGTGTATTGATGGAGAGAGGTGGTGAAGTCAGCATGAAGTAAGGGCGAGTGCGGTCTGAGTGCATTGGTTTGGAAGGGCTAGATCAGCTGCTGAGAGCACTGTGCTCCCTTGTCTCTCCTCCCAGTTTAACCTGTTGCAATTGTGCACAGATGACTTGTGTGTCTTCTGCCAGCAGTTCTTCCAGTGTGGTGTTTGCCAGCTCTAAAGGAAGAGGAAGCTTGAGTCGAGTTTGGCCCCTGAATTTTGGTTTGCTGGCAGCAGATTGCGGTGATGCTGGTAGGAATGCTACTTGTGAAAATAAGGTCTTTATCCAAGTTAGCATGTGGTGTCTGTTAGTCATCACAGCCCAACCAGACTGAAACTTTGTGAGGGGGCTGTGGTTCCCATCCTCCTGCTGCCATGGGCTGTGTTGTCTCTCTTTGGCAGCATCCTCCAGTATCCGTGGAGGAGGATGAGGAAATAGGACAGATGAAGGCTGTAGCTATTKCTTTGCCCAGCTCCTTCTTCCTCCTTTCTCTCTTCCTGGAGGAACTGACTGTAGGCAGTAGTGACAGCCTGGCCTGGAGATGTTCACTGCTGTTGTGGCAGGAAGTTTCTGGCCTTAAAGAGCTTTCAGTGAACAAATTACCTGTCTTTACAATTCCTGCCTCCTCTCTTCACAATTTCTGCCTCCTCCTCAAACTGCTGGCTTTCTCTGGGTGTCTCAGCTGCAGTTCTGTGCTCTTTGGCTGGCTGCAAGACCACATGGTCCTAAAACCCGAAGCTGAGTGCCCGCACAGAGGTCCCTGTGTGGGCAGCACTCTGAGTGCTGCTGCTTTGTCACCTTCTCACTGCATCTCAGATGAGGCACCAGACTGTCCCAGAGTGACTCTTCCTCCTGAGCACCGTGGAGCAGGGTGTTGTGGGAGGATGTAGCAAATAGGGTGTAGCAAAGGTTTTCCAGGGTGGTTTTGCAGTGACCAGGAAATACTGTGAGGCACTTCTGTGTCTGCTGCACATCTGGCCTCTCACTGGGGYGCAGAGTGAGCACGAGGAAATAGCCCTCACTCATCTCATGGCTTATTGTGGTCTGCTGTAGGAGCAGATGCTTCCCTAACCCTTGTCTACTGGGAAGGGGATTGGAGATTGATTCAATGGCAGGAAATGGATGGGGAGGTGTGAGAAGAGAGGCAGTGATCTGTGCACATCGTTATGGTGTTCTTGTGAGGCCCTACAGAAATGCTGCTGGGGCTGATCTATCTGGTGCTGGCAGCGTAGCATGGTAGCACAGAGCAGCTGGAGTATTTGTGGGAACCTCAGACAAGACAAGATATGTTTGGGATTTGTTTCTGAAAGAGTTCAAACATTCAGGACTCAGATGCCCAGAAGACCAGGGAGATGTGTGGAAAAAGACTTGGAAGGAAAGCTGCTGATTAGGTTCCATGTTTATGACTGCACAGATTGTGTAAGGAAAGAAGAATGGAGAGCTTTTTTTTTTTATCGTAATACTCACAGGGGAGAGTGAGGAGCTGTGAAAGGACATTTACTGTACTCTGGTGGTCTATACAGTTTCCTTTTTCTTCTTCTTCTTCATGTGCATCCTGGCCCCATATTCCAAAGTGCAGGGAAAGTTCTAGTTTGCTTATATATAYGTGTGTCTTTGGCAGGCATAAATAACTTTCTTCTAATTTCTCCAAACCAGCTTTCTAGGAATGAAGGGAAATGTGCATGTGTGTGTTTTTGTGTGTGTGTGWGAGAGAGAGAGAGGAGATCCTGTCACCTTAGTTACAGCGAGTTTTGTGGCACCAAATAAATGGGTGCTTGGAAGCTTAACTTTTCCTCCCTGGTTTGACTGTGCCATCCTGTAACTGAAATGATTTGCGTGCCATCCTCAACAGAAAGAAAACTAAACTGTTCGCCAGGCTGAGGAAAAAGATGAGCAGGTACCGGTACGGAGAGCAGCATTTCGATTCGTGTTTGATTTAGCTCCTAAAACTGGAGAGGCTGTTGCTGGACTCTAACAGCCTGGCACGTGTTAACCCTGTGGTGGGAGAGGGGTCCTTTGCATGATATGATGTGTTCATGGCCTGCTGGGTCCTGCTGAGATCTCTCTGTGTCTGGGTAATCCCATTAACTGCTTGTGTGCCTGRTTTGAATCCTTGCTTCTTTCCCTACCTAAGGAGGCAGTGTGAAAACTCAGACGTTGTCTGTCCGGTTGTTTCTGTGTGATGGAAAATGCAGTGCTGGGTTTTCCATGGGAAATAGGATCAGTTGTGGTGTTTAACAGCTTCTAGTTTTACCTAGTGGGTTTGTCCTTTTGCACAGGTCTGAAATGCTGCATTCTCATCCCCTGCCTGGCCAGGSAGCACCAGTAGGCAGGGCTTTCACACTCAGGAGTCCTGTCCTATCTACCTGTTGCAGTTGGGAGAATGATGAGGTGGGAGAAGGATTCTTCCTGCTTTGCTCCCTACTTGCTCTGTTCTTGAGGATCCTCACTATCTTGCTCTATCCATTTAAAATTTTTTGCAGGGCTAGAGGAAAGGAAGCCTCTTGTCTTTATATAAAGACTAATGTCTGTATCTTAACTTTCAAAACAGTGATGGCATTCATTCTGGATTGCTACAATTCTTGGAGTCACCGTAGGTCAAGGACTCTGACAAGAACATGCTCTGGAGCAAAGTGGGAATTCCTGCATAATGGCATGGAAAATACCTCTACTTTTTGTTTTAYTCTTTGCATTGATATTCCCTCCATGGGATCCTTATAGGAAGAAAAAAATAAAATTATAATCATYAAGWTGGTGTCCTGCMAGCAATAAAAGAAAGTGCTGGTGGATTGGGATCCTTGTTTTTTGGATCTGGGTTCTTGCTGATCAGGGCAGTCATGCAGCCCTTCTCTTTGCCTCTGCTATGCATACTTTGTAAAGTGGGAGGTTGGAGAATGAAGAGTGGTAATTTCTCAGGAAAGCTGATGGGCAAACTTAGATATTTGTTTCCTCAAGTAAAAAGTAGTAAAGCAACATTCTGAGGTTTTCTGGTGGCTTTGCTTGGTCAGACCATGACAGGTTTTCTAGTGAAGGAAGAGGAAGATTCACTGGAGTACTTCTCTGGGTGTCTCTGGTCTTGGTTGGACTGATGCTGTTTTTGCACCAAGTCTGATATTTCCAGTCACTGAGAGTGGGTAGATTGTTCAACAGAGGGAGAGTTAGCAAATCTCCCCTCAGTGAGCTCTAGCCACAATGTCCTCCTGCTCTGCCTTGGTAAAATGCAGCTGCCCCAGCAGTTAAGGTGCCTGACCTGGGCTCTGCTGGGGGTTTCTGCTGTCAGAGCAGCTGCTGGGGTCMCAGAGAAATGTGCAATCCCTGGTGCAGGGAAGGAGGATCTGGAACTTGGTCAATCTTTAATTTGCAGCAAGAATGGACATTTGTGCCACCATATGTTTGTGTGTAGGTTCTTTYTTCCTTCTTTCTCCCACCTGCTCTTTTTAATTTTTTTTGATTTCCAAATTATTCTCCAGCATGATCTGGTGGTAAAAAAAATAAATTATCTTTGGCTAAAAGGCCCAGTGTGAGCCTTAGCAGAGATGCCAACCTTTTTTTTTYCTTTTTTAACTTGAGAATTTGGCAGGAGATGACTGATCTGTTTTTACCATATTGGAAAGTAGGTTTTATCCTCTGATGKAGGGTTGCTACAAGTGCAAGGGAAGTTTATCTGCAGATGTTATTCTGCCCTTCCAGAGCAAATGAGGCAGCACCATGGRGTGTCTGGGAGCTCTGCAGCACAAAAAGAGGCTGGGGGATTTTGACTTCCCCTTCAGCTGCATTAGACCCAGCTCTCTGTTTGCAGAGGAAAGCTGACACCCCTTTCCCTYCCTTGCCTGATATTCCTGGATTTGGCATCACTTCCCAATTGCTTATGGGAAGGAAAAAGAGCAATGACCTTGTTGTTTTGGCTTGGTTTCACTGTGGTTCGTGTTTKGTCAGTCGATAGAGTCCCCACACTCTGGCTTTTTCCTGTGTTTCCTGGAGCAAGCAGTGAGCTGGAGACCAGCCTTTGCTCTGTGGGCAGTGTGTGCTCCCTGGGGACACGTGAAGGACAGAGGACCCTGGTGCCATCTCACTTGACGCTGCCCTGGCTAAATCCGTGCAAAGCATCAAGTGCAGCAATGAAGGTGCAGTGCAGGGGSCTCAAAAAGGCTCAGCCAAAATTAGCACTGGCATTTTCCTAGGGGRGCTGGCCAACACATCAAACAAGCTGTAAATAGTATTGACTTAATGAAGGCTTTAGTGTGGGGCCCTCACAGCCCAATTTCTTCCCCTTGTCCTACAAGGGCTGACTTTCACGGGAGCGTTTTACCAATGTATCTCCAAATTAAATCCCTGCCACGCACTGGAAATAATGCACTACAAAGTTATTTCATGGCCTTTAGAAAATAAGCTTGAACTCCTTTCTCACTGGGAGAACTGGCCTTTTCAAGTCCTTAGAAGGAAAMGTCTATCCTTGCCTTGGCAGGCCAGCTGATAGCCAGCAGTCCCAGTGTTCCCAATGTAGTCTGGGCATTTGAGAAGTTGTGGCAGTGCAGGTGCAGATCACGGTGTCCCTCATCTCGTCCAAAGTGCTTTCAACTCCAGGGGAGGTAACCTGTAATTCCTCCAGCCCCAACTCTAGCACTGAAGAATGTTTTTTGACATTTCCTGGTGTTTCCTGGTGACTCCTGTTTAGGTCAGGACTTCTTTACCCTCCAACCATTGCTACTTTTAATCTGTAGCACAACTTTGTAAATTTTGCAGAATTCTTATACAACCCATGTTTTGAAGTTGTTTCTGGGAGCCTCTGAGGAAGGACACTGTTCAGTCAGACTGAAGAGCTGCAGGGGTTGGCATACATGTTCTTTAGTCTCTCCTTTTCCCTTTTCCTTCTTCTCTTCCCTGTTTCTCCCTTGGTGTGTGTGCCCCTGGTTGAGAGCTGCTGGCAGAGAATGTCATGGGGTTTGTTGCATCATGTTGGTGTGCTGTTGGCATCAGTGTCATCAGAAGTGTCCAACCTGCATGTGGACCTGAGAAAAAGTGCTTTGTGGGGAAATGTGYGTGTGGGGTGTGAATATGGGGAGAAAGTGGGGGGAATGGGTGAGGGAGAAGTGAATGAAGAGGGATGGGATGGGGAGCTTGAAAGCTGGAATGCTGAGGAGGGTGAGATGCTTGCTTGTAAGAGGAGRTTTGTTGAAATGCTTTGCTATCCCTTCTTCCTCTTGCTATCCCCCACTTGTAAACAGGTGTKTAGGAATGAGGCCATCGTGCATGTTGGCCAGTGACCACCACAACTCAGGCATCCAAGTGTGAGTGGATGTACATGTCTGAGGCTCTGGGCTCTCTTGGGACAGAGCAAAGTGATAAATTGCTTGATCTCCYTGCAGAATCAGATCTGCATTGCTTTAGTCTTGGCTCCATGCCAGGATTTAGTGTCTCAAGTTGTAGGAAAGGATCTGTTTCTTTCAGCTTCTCTCAAGGCCTTGCATTTCACAGGAACTGTGACTTCGTAAGTGGAGTCAAATATCACTCCCTGTAGATGAGGTTCCACAGCCCTTTTGCAATATGCTGTGAAATTATATTTTCATCTGTGTATGGTTTTGGCAAACTGTAACCATTTCTGCTAAAATATCCCCCAGCAATGTGTGTGCTTCTCCATGACWTGAGATACATTGATTAGTTGATTTTTGGGAAGCTGAATTTCAGCCAAGATTATTCAGCTGTTCCTGAGGATTCCTTTGAGAAAATGGTTTTACGTTTTTCCCTATTGAAATTCTCTAGTAACCAACTTTTTACTAAATCTCTCATGATTCTATATTTTGAAGTGGAGACTTGACACCCAGCCAGGGCAAGCCTGTAGGGAAAGGCATGTGCCTCTTTCTTTGAAAAATCTGCCCAAATCTGTCCAAGCTGTGAACCAACAAATGCCATTATGCTTCTTGCATCTTAATTCCGTGAAGAATCCCTCTTGACTGTGTGTCAAAATTTTTGGAATAAAGACCAACTGGGGAGACTTTTCATAGTAGAAAAATCTCTATTAGTAGCCAGAACCTCACTATTCCTTTGCTGTCTGAAATGATCTGTGAAAACTCTGGCTGTTTTGCCTCTCTGCTGGCTTAGCCAGTTTGTACCACATCAAGGAATAAGATATTCTGTGATTACAGCCTTAGTTCAGGTATTGTGAATCCATTTGTCATAACTCATGCAGGTGAGCACCACGCAGAAACATTGTAATCTGTAAAATTTAAAACTAAATAGGCAGCACTGAACTCYTTTCCCCATTTGCTTCCCCATTATTAAAGACTATAACTGAATGTCAGACACTTATTTTAAAATCTAGGAAAATTAAGGATGCCTGGTTGTTTTGTTTTTTTTTGTGTTTGAGGCAAGTATATAAATTCTGTAGGAATTTAGTGAGTGGCCTGCTGCAAAGTAATGCTGCTGCAGAGTGTTGGACTGCAAGTGACTCAGCAAAGATGCTTCTCAGAAACTCCAAATGTCTTCACACATGTCTGGGCAGTGAAGCAAAGAGATGATGGAGGCCACTGATCTGTGCTGGTTAGCACAACTCCTCCTAGGCCTGGCTCAGACTTCTCTCTCTTTCTCTTTCCCTCTCTCCCCCCTCTCTCTCCCTTTCTCTCTCCCCTTCCTTCAGTGACAGCACCCCAGCGAAAGCAAATAAAAGCCCCTCGCCTCCACCAGATGGATCTCCCATCACCAGCCCTGAGACCAAGACTGTCAACCATGAGCTGGAGCCATCCACTTTGGAAGCACCTGGGGCAAGCATCCCAAAGTCACCGTCTCAGGTAGTGTCCCCRTGACATTGACCATGTCTCTGCTGAWGGCATCAGCTCTGTGAGTCAAAGACATCCATCAGTTGTTTTTTTAGACCTCGTCCTCCTGGAGCACACAGAATAGGACATGATGGTTGTTTTCTTTCRCTGCTTCCTGAGAAAGTTCCTAAGAATGCAGGTTGATTATTGGCCATCTTTTTGTCATAAGAAGTGAGTGTCTTTGAATGGCTTCACAGGGGGAAGGCCAGAAATACGTTTTGCTGTCTGGTAGGATGGCCAAGAAGATGCAGGGAGGATGGAGTTGTAGCTAGGTGAGGAAGTTTGTTCTTTACATTTGAATTAACCTGCGGAATTCAATGGTCCAGTTTCTTCTCAAGAACTTTAGCTGAGGAAGGTTAAAATAAAAAAGCTTAATATTGATAAGAGAATATCTCTACTTTGGATGATGCYTCACTTTACTATCAAATTAAAATATGCTAAAAAAAAAGGGATTATATTTTTATGCTATGAAGAAATCAGGTGGGTTCCAGGAAGATGGTCCATTGTATGAAGTCTGATACCTTCCATATGGTCTTTGTTGGGCCTTTCCTTACATAGGAATTATCCAGCAGCACGTTCAAAACAGTAGATGTGGCTACTCAACACATCATATGTTTTGCTTTGGGAAGATAGAACATTTACTTCCTCTTCCCGTCCCTCTGTTGCTGAGYGGGGGAAAAGCTTAGTAGGGAAAAGTGCTAGCAAGGCCAAATTTATGCCTGGTCCCAGTCCCTGTACCTCAATAAGTGGGTCACTAGGGAATAGTCTTCCATGAAGAATTAAAGCTGAGAGGGGTTCTGGGTCTAAACTGGCAAGAAAACCCACTGCCTCTGAAAAGAGATGGGTGCAACCCAGAACTTCCTTTCTGTCCCATACACAGCAGTGTGATTCCAAATCCAAGCCTGTGGGATCGGCTTTCTCCTGTTTCTGGATAGCCTCTCACAAGATTTTTCTTTCCACTGCGTATTTGATTTTTAGGATTATTGAGGGACTGGAAGGGGATGTGTRGCAAAATTTCTTTTTCAGCCCTGTGAGATGTGTGGATGCCTGGCAGTGTCTTTTCCGGATTTCTCCAGGGTCTCTGAACAGCTCCGCAGTGCAGAGCCTAAGAGTGGTGTCACCACCAACCTGGTTAGGAACTGTGGAGTAGGCTGTGTGTATGGAGGAGAGAAGATAGGATATCCAGAATTGCCTTTCTTTGCAGGTTTCTTTGGTCCCCCCACCCCCGAGATTTCCAGAACTTGACTAAAATTTGGAACGAGAAATTGCACAGATTTATTAAGCTTTTCACAGCAGTCTTCGCTCACCCCGCCTGTGGACTCATCTTGCTGAGTTTGGCTTCTTCCCTTTCCTTTAAATAGCACAATAACCCTTGTTTTTGCCAGCCTGCAAGTGCTTTCCCCTCCGCTTGCTGCCTGCCTGCCCGCAGGAATGGGGCTGGAGGCACCGTTGATGAGCACAGAGGATATTCCAGCKCTGCCCTGGCTCGGATGGGCCACAGGCAAGACTGAAATGATATTTGCAGCCAATGCTGCCACCGCCTGGCAGCTCTTTCCCAGTCTGTATTTAATTCATCCCCCTAACCATCACTACGGTGAAAAGCAAGAGCTCCACTGCATTTTCACAATAGCTGCTAAATRATGGAGCTGGCTCCAGAGGGAGGGAAGACAAAAGCAGGAGTGTCACACTCAGAGCCAGCCTGGTGTCTGTGTGGATAAATCTAGAAACCAAGTGTGKGCCAGCTTGCCAGCCTGCTGGGAAACACGAGTGTCTGCTCTCTCAAGAGTGCCTGGCCTTAACACTGAAATCCTCAGAGGTGCCATTGCTTTTGACCTATGGGTAAGTGATTGCTCTGTGGTCCTCCCAGGGAGGCTGAGGGGCACATAAAGCAACAAGCAAGAACAATTCTCTGGCCTCTTCGTGTCTGAAACACCAATGCATRTCCTCTGTGGAGAGAAAGATAAAACCAGGAGTGACCATATAAATGCTAACTAAATTTTGAACTGTTCCCTACACAAAAAACAGAAACCAACAAAAAACCCCAAATTCTGTTACTGTCCTTTAATTCTTAAAAACAGTTTATTTCTGTCTTTTGGAAGAAGTGAATGCTCTCAGCTCTCCGCAGAAAAATTTGATGATGGCACAGGACTTCAGAGGATCTGTGAAACTTAAAAGGTCAGACTTCTGCTCTCAGTTACACCACTGAAACTCTGTTAATGAAACTTTTGAAATCGGTGCAACTATGTTGAATTTGGGCGGATAAAGCTCTGTGGGATCCAAGACAGCAGAAAAATTTTAGAGGATTTGTTTTATTCTAGGCAACGAGGTTGTTAGTGCATGGTGAATTTATGAGTATAATCCAGCATCAATAGGCAATCATCTTGTCTTTGAAATGTGATTTTAGATTGCTGTTGGAAGTAATGCTGGATAGTGTGGGAGTGGCAGTCTCCAAGACACCATTGCATTGCAATGAAGGAGACTGACTATATTAGAGGAATAAATAGCAGAAGAGTTGTGATATTTTTGACTTGAGAGTTAGTAATTGGAGCCTTCCATTCCTACAGAGGGAGGTTCTGTTCTGAGAATAGCATTTCCCTAAAATTTCTGGGCCATCGTGCAACTGGCAAGCAGGGGGTTTTCAGGAAAGGATTGTTCTCAGGGAAAATGGACACACCACCTTCTGCAAACAGTGAGAAGTTGGAAGTGAACACATTTGCTTCCATTATTTCCCCTAGCTAGCAATTCAGGGCGGGGAAAATGTGTGTTTTCATACAGAGTCACTCTAAAGTAAGTTAATCCGGTGGAAAACTGTGCATGTCCTTAGAAATCTGAATAAAGGCCTTGTAGATCTCCGTTATATGCTGGAGGAGTGTGAACACAGGCCTAGGAGTAATGGATTTCTGTGTTTTGGCTTGACTGATATATGGGTGCACATTGTTGGGGCTCTGAGTGCTGCCTTGGGTGCAGTAAGATCACGTAAAGCTGTAAAACTTCATTGTAAATAGAAGGTATTGCCATTGCTGTAGTGCTGGGAACTTGTATGGCTGATTTGTTCCAACACAGCAGCAGCTCCTCAAAGTCTGATTTGGTCTGGAAATGGTCATTAAGCCTTGGGCACGGGGAAATATGGAAAGTTTGTGGATGGGGTGATCTAGGGAGRGTCTAGCACAGCTTCTGTGGGGTTGTGGATGCAGTGTCAGGATGAGTCTTTAGCATGCTGGGGGATATTAGAGTGGGTTGGAGTTACAGGATGAGGTGGTTTTGTTATTCACTGGGGTCTCCATTTGGGAAATGTGACTTTGTTACTGTCAGTGCTCACTGGTGAAACTGAGAGCAGAATTGGGCTTGCAGCAGTCACAGCTTCTCAGGAGTTTGAGTTGTTCTTTCCTAAAGCTGAGATGCCATCAAGAGCTYCTGCAGACCTTTCCTACAGCACACTGCTAACCAGTGCACCAGGGAGCCACTATTGGGCAGGTCAGTCTGTCCCCATGGTCACCTGCCCATGGCAGGACAAGTTCTCATTGCCTTAGGTATGGTAAGTACGGCAAAGGGAGGCAGTGCTGGCCTGTTCTGTTGGATCATGTTCTCAGAAATTGATCTGCTCCCTCCCCAAGTGGTTCTTCTGAAGGTTGCACATGCTTTAATTATGTATGCATGTCCTGTYGATGCATATTAATTGTGTTACGCTTCTCCTCTGCAGAGGGAAACTTGCCCACGGCTGAAGTGTAACTAATGATGCCAAACCTTCTCTGGAGGCGTGTGGTTRTTTATTTTGTTTTGTTTCAGTTGARCCCTTYACCCCTTCCCCTCTCTCTTCAGATGGAGTTGATTGGACCCTGCTCTATGCCAGTGGTTGTGATTTTCCTCACCTTCAGTTTTTGTGACTAACCTGGTTCCTGTCTTTGGTTTTTTTGGGTGTCGCCGTCTGTGCTGTGGCCATGTGCTCACTTGCATGCAGTTGAGGAAAGGGCCTCCAGTGCCTCCGCCTCCAAAAGTCACCCCCTCCAAGGAGATCAAGCAGGAGAACATCATCAGTCTGTTTGATGACAATTTTGTCCCCGAGATAAGTGTGACAACCCCTTCGCAGGTTAGCTGCTATGCCCTGCCTAATTCTTCTCTGCCTCTGAACTCTTCCTTCAGACCTTTCTTCTCTTCGGAGGTGTCAAGCCATGAAACCTGGTCAGGTGAAGGAGGGAAGCAAGCTCAGCATTGGACCTTGGAAGGCAAAGGATTATTTAGGAGCTGAATYAAAGGGGAGGGTACCTAAAAGGCAGTAACACGTTGGCCTTTGAGAGGTTTCATTTGTACAAGAAAGAGGAGAAATGCAGCTGGTCAAGGTGCCAGAAAGTAATCACTGCATTTGTTTAGCAGCAGTGCCCATGGATTGTGACTCTCCATTATCCTATGATAATGCTCTCTCCAGACCCACTGATCCTGGGTGTGGATGAAGCATGGGGTTTTTTTTCTGCTCATGTACATCCCTAACTGCTGCCCTTGGCATCTCTGCCAGTTCTGGGAGAAGGCAGTTTTGTGCTCCCTGTRCCTTCCCCTGTGGGGTTTGTGGTTTGAAGCCCACACCTGCACAGGAAAGGCCAAAAGGAATTGCCAGAGTTCTCTTTGCAAAGAGTAGCTGATGCAGTTAGATGGGCAGGACTGTGCCTGCAGTTAAGACAGTATTGTCAAGTGGCACCTTCTGAAGCCTGGAAAAAGGAAAAACATTTTCAAATTATAGATTTTCCTCTTCACTTTCTCTTTGATTTACATCACTGCCAGAGAGGCTGTGTGGGTGGGAAGTTCCCATTCTAGGAGAATAGCAGTCCTTGTGTATATAAATATAGGACCCTGACCAGATTTCTGGCTGAATCATGCGATACCTACATATTCTTTATTTAAATATATATATATCCATATATATATRTGTGTATATATATTTTCCCTAAATGCTTGTTAAAGCACAAATCACATCTCTATTATCAAATCATATCTTGTGACTCATTCCCTAATTTCTCCTTGCATCACACTGCTCCATTGCCTCTGGTTTGCCACCTTCCACCCAGCTGCTGAGGATGAGGTGGGGAGGGAAGGGAGTCTGTGTCAGATTTGGCATTGCAATAGATAAAATCATCTCTCCTTGCAGAGTGGAGAGATGATTTGACATCAGTGTTGGAAGGTGAGGACTGCAGGCAGCTGAGCAACTCTTTATCAYTTTCTGTGCTTCCTTCTCCTGTATTGTAATGGACAGCTCTGTCTGCCCCATGGTCTGTATCATGTATTTCCATGTGAATGCCAGCATTTAGACACACATATTCTGCACCTGATCAGTGCTCTGACCCAGGATGGGATCTGCTGTGACTGTCAAACAGATGGGAGCTCTGAGGGAGGACTCTGGTTTCCAGAACAATCTTCCCTGAAGGGCCCAACAGCCCCTGGCAGTTCATGTGTTGCCCAGGGCTGTTGCTGTCACATGTCTTAGTTCCAGTGAGCTGTCTTGTGGGAGTTTGGGTAAAAAGGCAAGGGGTGTTAGCCCTTGCATTTAAGTCTTGAATGGCAGGTAAGACTATTCCATGGCTGCAGCCTTTCATGTCTCACTACCAAACAAAGCTAGAAACTGAGGTTATAACCTTTCTGATGGGTGGCCTGGATGGGCTGGAAGATCCTTCTAGAATTACTAGAATGCCAGATGGTTTTTGGATGCTGGTTATTATTGTGAGATGAGAGAGAGCTTGGTTCCTTGTCCTTCTCCTTGTGGATCTCAAAAAGATGTGCTCATAAGGCAGGGAAAGAACTATAAGAGAACTGGGGTGAGAGAAAATTAGAAAAGTGAAAATGATGGTGATGGTGGTGGTATGCAGAGGGTTTACCTTAAATGGTGTCTCTTGCTACTTTCCAGAAGCTTTTCCATTGTAGGATTTTGAAATAACTCTAGAGACCAACCTGCCATATTTTGTGTTATTGAAAAGGTAGCTGAAGCAGTAGGGCCAGTGAACTGGGAGGTCATAGGAAATGGGCAAATCTTCCTGACTTCCTGGAGACAGCAGCTTCCTCTGAAGCTGAGTGGAAAGGAGCATCTTGTAGTGGTTAGATTAAACCACCAAAGGGGTAGTCTAGTCAAAAATAACTTGTGTCTTTGGTAGTGGCTTTTTATTAGTGGTAATCAGCAAGTGTGTGATCATTGTCTTTAGGTAGAGCATTAATCACTCAAGGGGAGTTATTCTGCYGACTTTGAAGAAATTAGCAAAGTTTCTCAAATTTATGCTTTTTAGAAGACTTGTATGTGTAATTTTATGGGATGCCCAGAAATGGAAGTGATTGAATCCTGTAGCTAGGGTGAGCTGCTGTATTTTGTGTTTCTGACTCAGAAGGCAGGAGGAAATTTGAAGCTTTGGGAGTTAGCTCTGAGGTCTCTCAGACTTGYCTTCCATCAGCTTGAGTGGTTTTCTGCCTGCATTTGTGTTCTTGAGATAAGTTGTATGGCTGGCAGCTCTGTTATATGTAGCTGAGGCAGTCAGTCTAGGCCTGTCAGAATAAAGTCAGCTGGATGAGCTGTGGGGAATCGATTCACCCAGAGGAGCATCCCTTCTGCTCTGGGGAGTTGATGCACCCAGAGGAGCATCCCTTCTGCTCTGGGGAGTTGATGCACCCAGAGGAGCATCCCTTCTGACCCGTCAGTGGCAGTGATCCTTCTGAGCACAGCAGATCAGGTGCTCACACCACATCAGCTTGCTTGGCCAGCTGGGAAGATGAACGAGTGCTGTGGAAAAGGCTTGGATTTGGTTTGCAGGGTGCCCCTGTGAGCTGCCTGTGCCTGTGGGCAGCGGGCAGTCGAGTCACAGCCGGTGTTTGCACTGCCACCATCTCTCCTGCGCTTGCAGCCTCAGCTCCGGGATGCCACGCAGCCTCCCCTCACTGTGCACGTCTGTGTCTAATGCTGGTACTGCTTTTCTCCCTCACTGCTGCCAAGTTTGATGCCCCTGGGCCCTTCCAGGAGGGAGCCAGCCTGTTGGATCTGGATTTTGATCCCATTAAACCAGATGCTACTGTGGGGAAGACCCCCACGCCCGCCTCCCAGGTTGGTTCCTATCGCCGTTCCTTCTCCCTTCACCACYGACTTGTTGCCACGGGTGGTGTGACCTGCACCCATGGGAGTGATAAAGTAGACCTGAGCTGTGGGTGGCTGGGCCTTGGTGCGGGTGTCCAGACTGGGACTTTGCAGATGGGGAYCTTGGTTTTCCCTGCTGGGTGTGCAGGTCCAGGGAGGATCAGGTGTGTGTGGGGTGCTTGGGCTTTGCTCTGGTRTGTCCCTCCCTAGAGCAGCATCCTCTGTATGCTGTTTGTATTCAAGCTGTTGCTCTGTGGATGGGAATTCAGGCTGAGCTCTGTTTTCCTGCTGTGAATTCCTCTCAAATGGATTTTTAATTAACAGACACTTTGATAATCTGCAGTTACTTAAGGTGAATAAAGCTGTAGGTGGATATTCAAGTGATGTGAAGCCTTTTTTTTTTTTTCCTGTATATGATACAACCTGTGTTCATAGTTGAGAAGCAGCTTCCTGCCTGTCACTGTGTGGTACCCAAAAGGAAGATGCCTGATTCTGTTCTGGCCCATACCTGTCTTGTCCTCTCTCAGAGGCAGGTGGGCTGTGCCTTACTTTATGTCTAAATGACTGGAAACTTCTGAAGTGCATCCTGGATATGGCTTATCGTCCTCACTGAGACTTTCCATTTTATATGTAGAAACTGYTTCTTGCCTGTGGATGCCATTAAAATTTGTAATAAACATGATTGGAATGTTTATAGTGCTTCTCCAGTATTATCATGTTAAGTAGGTCTGTATGGCACAGATYTTTGTAGGAAAAAGACTTCTCTTATCAGAGAATTCTAACATCAGGCATTTGATTTTCCTGAATTAAAGTACTGTATCTGCAAGATACGAGTTATTATCATAATTTGATGCACACCAATGTTGCAGAGCTGTCCCTTTTTGGAACTTTATGTGGGTACTTGGGCATTTTTATCTGCTCTTGCCTTCCAGGACAAGCTGCATACCAGGATAAGCTTTTTTTTTTTTTTTTTTTTTTTTTTTTTTTTTTTTTTTTTTTTTTTTTTTTTTTTTTTTTTTTTTTTTTTTTTTTTTTNGGGTTTTTTTCCCAGAATCACCGGTTAGAACTCAAATAATTGGTTATACTGACAAAGGGTACAAGTATAAATTTGACTTAAATAGGAATTATTGGTTACCCCTTCAGCAAGCAACAAATACTACAGTAACATATTTAGTGTTCTAACATAATTATTATTAGATTCAGAAGTCATTAAAAGACAGTCTAAAATCAATAATTGCTCCTGGTAAGTGAAGTACAAAACATAGTGAAGACCATCTAGTTACCAGAGCAGTCAGATTTATTTCCTATTAGGTGGGCAGTGTGACAAAGGAGTTAAGGTATTTTACTGCTGATCCAAAGACACCACAGAATCATCGAATTTTAAGGGATTGGACACTTCCYACTAGAYCAGGTTGCTCAAGGCCTTATCCCATGTGGCCTTGAAAACTGCCAGGTTTGGGGTAGGTGTTGATGTCTTATTTGGAAATGGTGTTAACACTACTGGGTGTGGGTATATGGGAACGTATTTAACCTAATTGACTACAAACTCATGAGTTTGGTTTGGTTTATTTATTTATTTATTTATTTTACTATGTTATCTGCCACTGATAACTGAATGTGGCTTGAYTGTCTCTCTTCACACCAGTTACAAWAATGCTTAGATTTGATACTTAGATTTGAGTATGCAGCAAGGAGGGTGTATAARTTCAGGTAGTAACAGATATTTTCAAAAAATGCAGATAAGTGCTGTTGAATGTGTATGTCTGCTTCAGTCTGATCAGTGTCTGTAATGTTTGTACTCACTGAAATAATCATGTATAAATATGTTTTATTTTTGTTGCTCTTTGACATGCTTAGTCTTTACCTTGGGATTTATGGGAGGTAAGAAATTCATTTGGCTTTTGTTTCTCATCCTGTACTATTCACATGCCTGTGCCATCTCTGTTCACATTCCTGTCTCCTTTCCCTCATTCCTTCTCCTTCCTGCACACCCCAGACCAAAGCTGTTCCATGTGCTGCTGAACTCACCTTGTATGAAGCCTCAGGGCCAACCACGTTTGCAAGTCAGGTCTGGCACTCTCAGACTCACAGTTCTACCCATGCACAAGCCCATTGCCTTTCCCTGCTAACTCACTCATCTTTCCCTTGGCAGAACGCTGTGACCTTCACCTCATACTTAACACCACTGTGCATCATCCTCACCCTCACCGTATTTCCTAAACTCTGTACATCCTGTTGGTCTTGTGTGCAATGCGTAACTATCTCAGCTGCCCCTTATTGTTGCTGCCTGTGCTGTTGGATGTATACACACATCTGGAATTATCTGTGATGTTTGCTGTTCATGGAYCATCGTTGCCAGAAAGGCTGGTGTGAATTATCTCACCCTGTGTSTCAGCTGAAAGTTAAGAGCAGGCCCAAGACTTGCCTGGCATCAGCCTCAGCTCTGGAGCTTGCTGATGACACCCTGCACATGTCCCGCCTCTGGACAAAAACTTGACCCTTATTTATGCCCTCTCCGTGTATCTGGCCTGGGCAGGTCTCAGGTTGCTGCAGATTAGCCCCTTGGGTGATATTTCAAACACAGCTGTTTTTGAGTCCCCGTGGATCCACAGCCAGTAGTGTGGACAGAAATCCCTTGGTGCAGGCACTCGGTGCTGCTGGAGCTGTGTCCACTGTGTGAGCTCATGGCCTTGGCTTATGATGGGGAATTGAGTTGCTGATCCCAAGGGCCAGATCACCCCCAGAGKGAGTGCTTGGGAGGACATGACTTAGCCCTGGCCTAAGGACTCACTGTGGCCATTACTGTCCTTCYCATGAGCTTGGGTGATGTCCAGGGACAARGTTTCCCTTGTGTGTTTTATCAGCRTTTAACATCTGTCATTCCCCTGTATGTGCATTGTCAATCTGTCTGTGTAGGGAAGAGGAGACTGGTTTAGCTAGGAAAAAGTCTCATTCTTTTCAGGTGAATGGGCCGGGGTGAGGTGTGGCTGTATCTGATTGAGCTGTGCTTACAGTCTTGGTTGTAATAAGTTTTTTTGGTCACTTCTCTCACCTTGCACACTGAATTTACCCAAAGGAGAATTCTCCCAACCAGGAAATGCTACGTGTCAAGATGTTCTCATYGTACCAATTCTCGCCTTGGGATACCATACTCAGTCAAAGAGCAGAGTTCCCTAAAGATGGGGAATCATCCTCTTCAAGTCTTCTGAAGTGTTTTTGCTGTAAATGTTGTTTTTAGCTGTTGATGAGAAGGACACTTTTTGTATGGTTCCTTAGTCCCATAGGCCACGAGGTTAACAACTGCATAGAAACTTGAGTGCAGCAGAACTTGCTTAGTGGAAATGTGCATTTGGTGTGCATGATGCTGCTGTTGGAATAAGCAAAGCTTTCAAACCTGGTAACAGCAGTGAGCAATTCTTCTCCCTGTGATATCTTTCCATGACTGTAAATGCTTTTATAGCCTTGGGATGCCCCACAGGTATATAAAATAGAAAAATTATATAAAATGCCCTTGGTTGAAATCCAGGGCATTAATTTAGATTCAGTTTCTCTGATTATGGAATACTGTTTTTGCAGATAAGCTGCTTTTAAAGATACCAAAACCGTCACATTGAGCTTCCTTTCAGTTGTCCACATAAAAACCATGCTTGGTCAGATAAAACAGGCATCTGTCCCAGTTCCAGTTTCATTGAAACCAAACAAAAACCAACCTTGGAATGAATCCAGTTAAACAGGAGAACCCTTTGTAGCATTTCATATGCATATATTTACCTTAGCTCTGCCAAAGCTGCTGAGGGAATCCTCTGTAGGATGGGAACAGCTCTGCTCTTTATAATATCTTCTGGCAGCGTAGGCCTGTGGACATGGTGATGGGGAGACATGAGGAAGGATGTGATAGGGGAGGAAAGCATGTGTTAGATGATGCCACTGGAGCAGCTGAAGGTAAAGTACTGGCTTTTTTGTGAGTCAAGGGTTTTCTTTCTTTGTTATTGTTGCTGTTACTAGAATGTTGCTTGGAGCATTATGCATGGCTAGTAGCCAGATGGGTGTGCATTTAATGCTCACCCTGGTCATTGCTTTACTCTGGGCTTTTGTAAGGCTGGGACTATAAGAGCTGCAATATTAAGAAATCTGGACAATRCCTTGTTTTGAATATGSTTTCAGGGGTTYATGTGTTGTGGTTTAACTCCARCTGGCAGCTAAGCACCACACAATCACTCCCTCATTTCCTTCCCATCAGTGGGATGGAGGAGAGAGTTGGAAGGATAAAAATGAGAAAACTTGTGGCTTGAGATGAGAACAGCTTTATTCAAACAAAATAATAATAATAATAATCAATTATAATGAAAAGGAAAATAACAGAAATAAGTAAAATAAAAAAAAAAAAAATGAGGCAAATGAAACCAATTGCTCAACACCAACCGACTGATGCCCAGCCCATTCCTGAGCAGTGCCACCTGATCAGCTTTCCCCCTGGTTTATTCACTGAGCGTGATGACATTTAGGATATCCCTGTGGTCAGTTGGGGTCAGCTGTCCTGGCTGTGTCCCCTCCAAGCTCCTTGTGCCCCCCCAGCCTCCTTGCTGGCAGGGCAGCATGAGAAGCTGAAAAGTACCTGAATTAGTGTAAGCACTGCTCAAAAACAACTGCATCATCAATATTATCAACATTATTCTTATCCTAAATCCAAAACAAAGCCCTTTACTGGCTATGAGGAAGAAAATCAGCTATCCCAGCTGAAGCAGGACAATTGTTTATCAAGTGTATGAGGCATGTAGGCATGCTAAAGGTGGGTATTCCCATGTTTTAAAAATAYCAGATCTTGGGAGTCTTCCCAGATGCTGCCTGGCCAGTCTCCCAAGGCTGATTTGCAGCTTCGATGCYACCAGATCCAACATACTTCCTGTGTTGTTGCAATTTCTGGGAGGGGAAAATGAATAATTTTGTGTTAAAACAGAGTTAACCTGACTTCAGACGAGGGAGAATAAAAACTTGAACCACTGTAAGCCTGATAGGAGTTTGGCTGGTGTTTTGTTGTGCACAGAACYTCCTGTCCCTCGGTCTTTTAGAACAGTCTTTGTCAGGCAGTGGTTTGTGGGTGATACTGAATCTCCTTGGTGGTGGCAGCTTTTGTGCAGTAGAAACTTTCTACCAACACACATGCATTGCACACTACATTAGGAATATTCACAGAAAATTCTTAGTAATAGATATTTGCAACAGAATCAAAATTCTCAGCTCTTTGGGCCTATCCAAAAGTAAAGGGAGTGAAAGTCAACACAGTGTCCTGTTTGATTCAATGGTAATGTCATGTTGATGCTGGGTCTGGACTGAATTCCAATCTGGACACATTATTGCTGTTCTCTTCTGTTTCTGGGAGCAGGCAGGCAATATTCTGTGATGGTTGATTCTTGGAAGTAGACTGGAGAGATCCTTGTCCTTTGGCGTGCAGGAGAACTTGTATTCTCTTACAAATGGGCAACCTAGATGTAATAATAGATACTGTGTGTGTGTAAAGTAGGTCTGCAGTTTAGGTTGTGAAGAGATAGAGGCACACAGAGGTTTTGGCATTTCATTGATTTCCTCTGAATTATTGCCWGCTGCATGGCTGGAGTTGAGGGATTCTGGCTTTGTTGTGATTTCCATGAGTTGCAGGGAAAGAGTGAGACAGAAATGCAGGCAGATCCTGCAGTGTGTCACCTGTTTGTCAGCACACGGCACAGGCAGTGGCACAGAGCACTTGGTCAGGCTGGGCTGCACTTTGCTGCACACACAAGGAGCTGGAATGAGAGTAACCTCCCACTGGGATGACTTTTGTGTTGCAGCCTGCAGARGCAGCCCATGCAGGAGCTGAAGCAGCTGGATCAGAAGCAGCAGCTGGAGCTGAAGCTGACTCAGGATCGGTAAACACCTCAAGCAGTCCCTTTTCTCCATCACGTCCCGTTTTTGTACAGTAGATGTGGGAGGCTGGGCAAAGAGCTGTGTAGCTGCTTGAAAAAACACATCCCTGCCACTTGAGGAGTTACAATACTGTGGTTCAGGAACCAGACTTACTGATTGCATTTTGTCTGTCTAATGCTTAGGCAGAAGTTCTGCCAGAAGAGTCAGTGTAAGAATTATCTTTTCGCCCCTGTTGTGAAGCCAGCCCACAGCCTATGCTGTCCCAAATTCGTGTTGGCAGCTGCAAAGTTTCCCCCTTGCTTGCCATTGACTTTACCTCCCCTGTCCTCTGGGCTGTGTCTCCTGAATATCCAGGSTTCCTCTCTTTTTGGTGACACTGCTGTCCTTTAAGGGGATTGGGGCAGATCCCACCTCGTGGCAGCTTGGTTCCTACAGGCTGTCACATTTGAGTTGTCTGTTCCATGAGGGCTCCATGAGAATGCATTGTGACCACAGCAGATGGGAAATGCTGGGCATTATGATCCCAGAAAACCTATAAATCATCCCTGCCTTTCTGCAGCCTTGGGCAGGCAGCAGTCACCCATCCTGCCTTCTCACTGCTGCCTCTGCTCTCTCTTGGGGTGTTTTGTCACTGACTGGGGCATTAGGAAAACCCATTGAAGCCATTGGATGGGTGGGGTCTGGATTCTCCTGGAGCTTTAGTTTTGGATTCTCTTTTCTCAATGGCTTTTTTTTCCTTTCCTTGGCTGTGACTGCCTACCAGAGCTCTCTGCCTGCTGTTGTTGTGGAAACTTTCCCTGCAACTGTCAATGGCACTGTGGAAGGAGGTGCTTCATCYGAGAGAGCTGACATGCCCCCAGGATTTCTATTCAAGGTGAGTGTGTGCTCGTGGGGCATTGAGGGTTTTTTTCCCTGTAAGGAATTTACTGTTTTCACTCAGCATGGCCATGGGCTAGCCCGCATTGAAAGGCAGAAATGAAGTTGAAGGAGAGATACACTTTCCTCTCAGACAGTGCAGCTTCATGCAGTTCCAGATGTTTCAAGGGATTGTGTAACAGCATCAGCATCTAAAAGTCTTGCTGTACTGTACAGCAAAACCTGTTCTCTCTGCTGCGATTGTTTCTTGGTGGTGTGGTAGTGTCAGTCGCAGACTCTGGATAGTGGATAAAAAGCTGTGCTCCTGACAGGAGAAGTTAAACTTTGATGCAAAGTGGCAAATYGAGAAGAGTTGGGAACACCAGCAGGAGCAGATTCTGTGTATGGGGAAATTAGAAAGTCAGGATTAACAGAAAAACACTGGACTGGACAGGGAAATTGGGTGGGTATTCTGAAAATGCCAAAGATCACTTGCAGCAAAGGTATGGAGGAAGGAGTGATCTTGGGTGAGGATAAGCCACRAATTTATTGTGCATAATGGAGTGTGGTAGGAAAACAGCACAGATGTATCATGCCCCAAAAGTGAGAAATTACAGCACCTCGCTGTAGGAATGCTCCTCTCTGCTTTTGTCMTGCCCATTTCTTTCTGTGAGTTCTACTGAAAGCAGAAGAATGGCAAAGCCCTGAAGGAGAACAGGAGGCTGATAGCATTTAGTCTGGTGACAAGCAGAGGCTGCAGTGCTGGAATTGCTCCTCCCCTGTCCCTGCAGGTACAGGCCATGCACGATTACACAGCCACCGACAGCGAYGAGCTGCAGCTGAAGGCCGGGGACGTGGTGCTGGTGATTCCCTTCGAGAACCCTGAGGAGCAGGTGAGTGGGGAGCCTGTGAGCCTGGGCCACGTGGAGCCGAGGGGGTGTCCAGAGCTGTTTTTTTCATCACTAACAGCTGGCTGGCTGGAGGCTGAGCCATTGGTTTGTGTCTGGGAACTGGCAAGAGAGCCGGTTGTCCTTGAGCTTGAGATTGGCTGCCTGCAACAGAGGGGAGGACTCTGCTTGTCATTGGAGAGTGGAGACATTATCCTGTGTAAAGCATGTGGAGCAGCCATGGGTTCTTGTCCCTCTCAGAGCATTTGAGCCAGTACAGTGGCTCTCTTGATCAGGGAGCCCCACAGAGCCCATACTTTGCCTCCTCACTGCTCCTAAACTTGATGCACATTGCCCGTGACCGCTATGGCACCAACTGTCGCGTTGACTCCCACTTCTTTTTTGAGATATGTGGGAGCTCTGAGAAAGCAGCTGGTGGTGGATGATGTCTTGCACTTGAGCACAGTGGCCGTTTCCAAATGACCGTGTTTGGTCAGGAGATGGCAGCAGAATCAAAGGCTGGAGCAAGTCTCAGCTYCAGAGAACAAGTCTTGCTGCTCATCTTCTACCTGAACTTACCTGGTCATGCTTTTCTTTAATTTGAGCTATTTCTGGAAGCCTTGAGTAACTCCTCCTCACTTTCTGCATTTGAGGACACCCAGCTGACAATCTGCAGCAGTTTAACTACTTTGATTGACTGAGACAGTTTATAAAATTCATGCTCACATCTCCAGGTTTACATTTGGAAAAAAGAGAGACATCTCCAAATTGATTCAGTAATCAGGTCTTTGGGTTTGTCCAAGTTCAAATTGATGAAAGATCTAGATTCCACAAGGGGTGAAGGGAAGGTGAGGTAGTTTGCTGCCTCAGAAGATGTKGATCCTCTTTGTGGCCCAGCTGTTGGCTTTGTGAATTATGGAGGCAGAACTTGCTGATCTTGTGAAATGGWSCTGTCAAATGCCAACAGTTCCCACRCAACTAGGGGTGGAAAAGTTTTTGGGGAACAGGAGTGGTTCCTTCTGGAGACAAAACTACACTGGGTGGGGACTGCCCTGAACAAGCATTTGTGAGCATTTCTTTCTCAGAAAGCTTTCTGGATGGGAAACGATTGTCAGGTCCCTTAGTTTCTGTGGTAGGAGACTGCATTTGTGGAGCAGTTTTTCAACGCTCTGTGTTTGYACTTTAGCTGGATGTGGGTGCAACAGCCATGAACTCGAGACTCTCCAAGCTGCAGAGGGTGAGCTCTGAGTGTTGCTAACATGACTGTGCAGCTGCACTGAAGCCCTCTAACCCTTCTACAGCTCTCCTGTGCTACAGCTCATTACCCTAACCTCGACTGTACCCAGCCAGGAATTGCTGGCTGTTAACATGTGCATGAACTGTGCACGTGAGTGGAGGGATAATAGACTGATTCATGTCCCTGTCTTGCAACTTAGGTGTCAGTTTGGGGGGACATCATCCAGGCCTGGAATCGTCTCTGTTGGTAGGAGAAAGGGTTGAGGGCAGCAACACTTCTAAGCTGGCACTTGAAGTGACATGGTTTAAAATTGTCAGGGCCCAGTCTGGGTCCTCGTGTCTAATCCCTGCAGCTGAGGAGACCCTTCATGGCAGGATGTGGTGGGAGTGGTGCATGCTGTACAGCACAGCACTCTGTGCCAGCGGATGAGCTTTTGTGCCTGACGTGCTGTGAGCTGGAAGCTGCCTTCTAGACACTAGGGCCCAGTGTCTCCTGCCTTGTTGTTTGTCTTCCTGATTTATGGCATGTCAATCCTTCCACAGCCCCTGCAGCTGGCTGCTGCAGATGGGCTCCCATCTCGTGTCGTTCCCATGACGTCCCCTGAACGTTCCAGTCTGAGGCAGCAGTCAGGGCTAAGTGAGGCTCCCAGGGCTGTGCAGCTCTCGTGCCTCATGCCTCGCTCTTACCCCATAGGCTGTGGGRTATTTGGTGCTCTCCCCAGAGGAGTGGGGTATTTGGTGGTGCAGGGGAGCGTCCATGGTGGCAGCTCCAAGGCGTGCAGAGAACAGGGTGGGTGCACAGTTGAGCTGCAGGCTCAGTGCAGCTCCTCCCACCTTGAACACCCTGAWTATCTCCAGCCTGCAGGCAGAGGGTGGGAAGTCTGGTGCTGGTCATGAGCAGGTTCTGCCAAGCAGGGCTCCTTTTGCCTCAGTGAAAATACATCTGTTTTTATAGATAAATGTGTTGGAGGCTGGGGAAGACCTCACTGAGAGACCTTGAATCTTAAATCACATGTAGCCAAAATCGGGAGTTTTGCTAACTTCACCTTGCATCAAACCAAGACTGCTGGGTTTTGGGAAGATGGGTTGAGCTCCTCATCTCCTAATTCTCATAGATCAGGATTTCAGCATAGCAAACRAGATTTATCTTGCCTGTACCACCTCTAAAATGCCAGTCATCTGGATGCTCTGACTGAGCAGGGATGAGCACCTCCTGGGTCTGATTCACACTTTCCAAAGATCTGTGCCCGAGATGGATGGGGTGAATAACACCGTGGAGGTGTCTCTTTCATGGCTGTGGGGAATGAGACCCCTCATGTTTGAATTGTGAAGGGTGAGATAGGTGATTCCCATCCTGTAGCTCTGGAGTCTCTCCCCCTTCAGTGAGTGTAAATTTTCATATGCTTCTGTTACACTTGCTAATTTTTTACAGTGTCACTGTGTCAGCACAGTCTGGGTCAGGTGGGAGCTTTGGTACCAGCTCTGGTGAGATGTAGCCTCTTCTCTGTTTAAAAGGAAACAAAAGCATTTTTTYCTTCTCCCCCAAACTCCTGGATTGTGTCCAAGCCAAATAAGAGCATGGCTTTGGTAATTAATTCCTTGACACCTCCTTGACCTGCACTCTAAGAAAAGTCCCTGCTCACATCTATCCTTTAGCATCTGATCTTTGTCTTCTCCTCCAGGATGAAGGATGGCTGATGGGTGTGAAGGAGTCTGACTGGATCCAGCATAAGGAACTTGACCAATGCCGAGGGGTTTTCCCTGAGAATTTCACAGAACGGGTGCAGTGAAAGCCCAAGCCCACCAGCTGCGTTTCTGCTGGAAGAAAGCAAGTTTTCTGGTAGATAATTGAAAAAGAACAACAAAAGGAAAAGAAGAGAGAATTTTAAAGGAATAGMAGCCTGAAAAAAAGGTCTACTTAAAGGGTGTGTTCTTCTCAAAGGGCAAGGTTTCGGAAGTTAATTGAAATTCAAAGTGTTATTGAAATATATACGTATTAATAATAATAAGGCAATTCAGATACCCTTTTCCTCCTTTGGTTTAAACAGCATTTGGATTCAAAGGACTGATGCAGAAGCGACTCAGTGTGGTTCTCCAGGTACTGCATTGACTGAATTGTCAGATGTCAGTCTGATTCCTGGAAAGCCAGTATTTGTCAAATGGCTTGAGAGTAGAAGCTGCATTTGCTCTTGGGTGGGTTAATCTATTTTGTCTTGAAGGTGGTTTGCATGGCAACCATAAAAATTCAGCCTTCCYGACATGTTCAACCTACAGTAGGCCAAACTTTCTGTTACGCTGTTGAAAAAAAAAATTAGTGTATAGTGTTCACCAATACAATGTATGTGTGTGTGTGTATTTTATTTTCTTYCTTTAAAACAATGTTACATAAACTGCGATTTTACACATGTAAAGATAGAAGAAAATTACATGGAAAGGGCACGAAGAAGGTGAAATGTGTGAGGCTGTGCTCAGTCCAGAGTTCTTTCAAATGCAGACTCCTAAATTCTCACAGTAGTGTTSGCCTGTGAAATCCTAAGGGGAATGGACAAATTCAAGAGGAGAAATAAGAAAAAACAAACAGTAACCATTTGGATGTCTCTGAAATTTAGGAAAAGGAATTAATTCCCTGTCACACATCCCCAATCCCCACTCCCTACCCCCCCAAAAAAAAAACAAAACCCAAGCCCAAACCTATAGGTGGTTTCAGAAAAGCTTAGATTCATGTAGATGGAAAATAGCTCTAAAATCTACTGGTTAGGAAATTTGCTTTTAAAGACAGAGATAAGGGAATTTTTTTTTTCTGTAAGAATATCAAAGAAAAAACACTGAGAAAAAACAAATTGTTTTCTGTGCTTTTCATTGGCATTGTTTTTTTGTGGAACTGTATATCTTATTTTCCTTTGAAGAGTTCTGTAAGTGAAATATCATTAGATCAGCTTTCTCCAGTGATGTGCTGATGATCAAGTTAGCTTCTATGAAAACTGGACTCTAGAATTTCTAGTTTAAAATGGCTGTGTGACTTCATGCTATTGTAATGCATTAGAAAGGAAGGCAGGAATATCAAAGTGTCAGTGTCAAGAAGACACTCTGCAGTCTAATACTGATGCTGAGTCCTTTCCTTTACCTTTGCTTCTGTTTGTTTTTTGAGTTTAGATTTTTTTTTTTTTTTTTTTTATATCAGGGGTACTTGATAACAAGGGGATCTCATATAAGATTTTAAAATCTTATAAAATTTGGTTTTTTGTTTTTTTGTTGTTTTTTTTTTTTTTTTTGTTTTGTTTTTTTTTTTTTTTTTTTAGTTTAGACAAGCAGATGACAAGGCTGTTTCTAAGTGCATATTACACTTGTTAATATAAGCCAGTCTGACTCTCCAAGACTCTAAAGTCCCACAAAGGTACTTTAAACTTTACTTGAATACTGATGCAGCTGGCAAGYAAGTCAGGCTATTTTAATTTTTTACAGCTTCCCCTCCTCCCCCATGATTGTTTTGCCCTGAAGGGATTTTTAACAGTGAGGTTATCCCAGGTTCAGGATCACTCTAAAATAATCTTCCAAATGGGTAGGAGTTGGCTTTTGTCAAAGCTGCACAAAATGCTGACAGAGTACAGAAAATGTCACCTTTTCCAATCTGTGTGGATTATTTGTAGAACARCAGAAAAACATTGTAGGGCAAAAATTATGTTTAAAAAAATATTAGTTTGGAGGAACAGATCTGATTTTYATTAGAAAATACATTCTTAGAAATGCAAGCATTGTTAGAGTTCCTCCTGCTTTCAGCTTGGGAGATGATCCATGCTAGTTATTTTCAGTAATGTTACAGGCATTAAATATGTCCTATATACCCAAATCCCTTCTCCTTTTTAAAAGAAGAAATGTGCAGGAATTTATTTTGCATCACTGTTAGAAACCCCAATAGTATTTAGGAGTAACTGCTCACAATACAGAAGGACTGGACTCCACAAGTTAAAGTATGGTGAGCTGTTGCTTWAGAATACTGCCCTGTTTGACTTTTTTTTCCTTTTTCATCAGGGTTGTCTTTATTATTACTCTTTTTTTTTCCAAAATATCTATTTTTATGCATTTGTGACTCCCATTACTCCTTTAAAGATGATTCATATAAAAATATACATTTAAATATACATAGAAATATATATATATATTAAAAAGCGGGTTGATCCAATTAACATAATGCTGTCAGCTWAAAATGTTTATTTTTGTGCAAAACCTGTGGATAATAGCTTTGTTTTTTTWAAAAAAGGACAAGATTCTAAGTACCAGAGCTGTGATTTTTGTCTTTTAGTAACTGTTCTAGACCTTTTAGAAAGCTGTGCTGATACCTAATTTATTGTGAGGTTTTTTTTTTTTTTTGCTGTTGTCCTCTGCTGTGTTTGAACCAGATGACTGTCCCAACAAAGATCCTTGTAAGGCCTTTTCATTTTATTGAGCTTGCAGAGCAACTATCCAGTACTGTATTGTCCCTGCAGAAGTGGCAGCACTCTGCAAAAAAGGGATGTTGTTTTCAGGTCACGTGAGTGATGCTCCAGTGTTGCTGGTGGGGAGAGCGTTGTGTCTCTCCATTTGCTTCCCCTGACCCCAAAACCCCCAAACCCCCTTGCTTAGAGCAGGTTAGGGTGGGTTACCTGGATCTTGCATTGCTCACAGATAAGTGGTGTCAGCACATCTCAGTCAGGTTCTGAAAATGCGGGATCGGACCCACAGTTTATGAATTGCCTTATATGAAAGTAGGATGGCATAGCAGGAAACTTGTAGATGGCAATGTTCTTTGAAGCCAGGAGATCTGCCTCCTGGGTCATGTTCAGCCCCTTGTAAACAGCCATGGCTCCTTCCATTTTCAGTGTTTTTACATCTCCTAAATACCTTGATTCTGGTTGGTATTACCTGGTGAAATGAACTTTGGTTTAGGTCTGATTTAAAKAAAAAGAGGGACAATAGACTCCCAAGTAGGCTGTGCCCACARTGGTTTTTCAGTTTGCAGGCTGAACTGAAAAATTGAGAAAAAACATAAGGGTGACCTGAGACAATTTTTTTTCCATTTTCTCAGTGGAATGAAAAAGGGAAAAATTGAAACAAACMAATTCTTTCATACCAAAATGAAACATTCATTTCTAGGGTTGCATTTTAACTTTTTAACAAATGTTATGTCTTGGGCTGTAACAAATTGCTTTGAAGCAAATATGTGAAACCTTCTGTTTTGAAAATGCTGAAAGAAAATGTTTTAATGTTAATAGTCTTTCTGCCTTTGCCTTTTTTTCTTAATCTGATGATTAGTTTCAGTTAACCCTGAACTGTATTTTTTTGCAAATACATTACCCACTGAAGAGAACCCAAAGAAGCCCAGTTCTGCTCCAATGACAGATACACTGGACACATTTCAGGGATTACTTGGTATCTGGCCCATCAAAGCTGCTGTTTTCCCCATTTAATAATCTTCCACTTAACTGTTCTGCTGGGTGAACAATAAAGGCATCTCTCATCCCATGCTTTTGTAGCTGGGCTTAGAAAGACATTCTTGTTCTCTTGGTCTCAGTTTGGTTACAGGTTTGTCATACTGCTCCAATTTGAGCCTAATCCTASTATGAAGGGGGAATTAATATTTATCCAGCTGATAAGAAAGAAATAAGCCATTGCTTTTTCCCCCTTTTTCTATCTTAGCAGTGTCAGCAATGTATTTATTAGATAGAATTAAGGAAAGGTCCCAGGGTAAAGATGGGTGTGGTGTTCAGGTGAGACTCCTGCCTAGTCTGTGTTATTTTCCTTGGGCATTCCTCAGCTGTCTGCTTTTATCACCTTTGTGTTTCTCAGCTGTTGAGGTGGTGCAGTAAAAGGTGTTGTACAGGTTCATTTCCAGCTGCTCAAAGCTGATCCTGCTTTGTGTGAATTGTGCCACAATCCTTGGAACTTTGTTCACAGCTGTGGAACCCTTTCCTGTCCCACCATCCAAAGAGGCCAAGGCAGACAGCCCCGAGTCAAAGGGACCTGGAGCGGGAGTGAGGGCTCCATATTCTGTCTGAATTGGGATGTCAGCTCAATTAGATTTTGCAGTGGCCTCTTGGAGGGAAAAGGCCCAAGGCTAAAGGAGATGGGGGAGGCTGGAGGGATGATCCATTATCTTTTTCATTCTGGGTTGATGCACTGACTGCCTGACCTCTTTGTTTCAGGGAGAAACTATTTAGGGCTGAGAGCAAAATGTGAATGGTCAAGATGTGCATGGTCAGTCTGATAACAGGTGCCTCTCACCTGCCAAGGACACTGAGTTCAGAGCTTCCTYTTTCCTGCTCTGTGCCACAGGTATTTTGGATGCAGTCAATGCCCCAAAACAGTGAATGTCCTCTGGAAGATGCAGAGGTGACTCTCAACCCTTTTTAGGAAGACCTACAGATCTCCACAGACAAGGCCTGTGTGTGTAACACAGTTACTCTGATTTCAGTAGCCTGTGTGTCTTTCAGCATCTGCCCCACTGTCCAGCTCCTCTCCCTTCCCAGCCTCTCCCGTGCTCCTTGAGGATGATGGCAGCATAGGGCACCTCCCACCCGCCAAAAGTGCAAAGCCAGAAGATGCACAAACATGTCCATCAGCAAATCCTACACAGCGCAGCTCCATAGTGCTGATCTCAGGAAAACAAGCAACAGCTTTTCTTCCCTGGGCCACCAAAGGGAAGCTATTCCTTGCCACGGGTACCATCATACCTGGTACTGGTGCAAACATCTCTCTGCTTGCACACTCTGGTTCACACCTTTTTGCATAACAARCTCCTGGTGGGAAGAGTCCTGGGTRGTGCCCAGAGCTGGATTGTCACCAGCCCTCACAAAGCTTTGGGTCTTGTTGACACATGGGGGCTGAGAATTAGAAGGCCCTTTGGGAAATTTTGCTTATGAAACTAAATGGAGAAACTGCAACTGTGAAGACTAGTCTGTATGAGCGTGTACTTTGATGTGTCCTATGGCTGTAATTCCTTCACCTCTTTTTGCAGCTTATTCTGCCAGTTGTGACCCCAGTCTGCATTTCATGTAGAAGGTCCCTACTTGAAACTTGCCAGATGAAGTCCTGGGCTTATTGCTTCTCTTTAGCTGAATTAAGTGGGAATGACTTTGGCAATGTATTAGCGATCTCTTTTCCTTCTGTTAATTCAGTCTCTGAGTTTAATCACAATGAMCTAAGAAATGTTTGGGGGTTGAGTGGTTTTTTAATTAATTTTTGTTTTGTTTAAACAAAGCTGAACAATTCCCATTGTATTTAGAGCTGTGATGCCCAGTTCCACAAGTACTAGATGAATCTGTCCCATCTTGTTTCTTGGTGATGTTCAGAAATATAATTTGTGTCATCCTAAGTCCTGTGTCAGTTTCTCTCTCTACTTTTTTTTTGCCTTTATATTAAGGAGCTGAAACAATTCAGGACACTTTCCTCCCCATGGAGGCGAGTAGCTTTTGTAGAGGTTTGGTGTCCAGGAACCTTGATCAAACRCATGGGATGGAGAGGGTGGTGCTGGTCCTTACAACAGCAGGGTAAACTCTTGTAGCAGCCACCTCTGTTCCTGTTGATTGTGACACCAAATTAATGTAGTGTAGGGAAGGATTCAAGACCTTTGCTTTTTCTTAGCTGCTAACCCCRAAGTGATGGGGCAAGAAGGCAAGTCTGTTGGTGGGAGTGTGACACCACAAGGGCRCTCTGCCCCACCTGGCCAAACTTCTCTGAGCTCCCTCTGCCACAGCTGCGTGAGCTCTGAGTGCCCAGGCTGGCTTTGGGGTCAGCTCTTTCAATGGGGCATTTCCTTTGTAGCTAGAAAGGAAGGGTTTGTGCCCATCAACCCAAGGGATCTGGGACCTACAAGGGACAGGATTAGAAGGATTCACAGCTGATAGCTACTTTGGGGCCTCTCCCTTGGATGCCTGATTCCAGACAGGCTTGGCACAGCTGCACCTGGGACTCRGTGTGTAAATAGCAAGCACTGGCCAAGGCCAGGCTGGGGTGGGATGTAGCTTGGTGCCAGTTAGCACTTTGATGGATGGACTGCCAGAATGCACTGCCTTAGGATGCAGCTCCACAAGCCCCAGAGCCAGCTCAGGGAGCTGGCCAGGCTGTGCTTGCACTGTTCCTCTGCTTMCAGACAGCCTGCAGGGTTTAGTGCCTTTTAATCTCTCACCTCTATG